ACTCTAACTCTACCCCACCCAGTCACGATGACTCAAAACCGTTCGTCTTTCCGTTCTCCCCCCCCCCCCCCCCCCCCCCGGTTCCACGCAGCATGCGGCGACGGTGGTGGTTGGCGGCAAGAAGGGGTGGCCGGGTGTCAAGGACTGGAAACAGCCGACTTGGGGTGTCCACGATGTGCTAGGTCAGTGTTTTATATGACTCGTGTTAACTTATGACGAGGTGTTTTTTGAGTCACCCCGTTGCGTACTTGGAAGCAGCCGACTTATGGTATCCACGATGTGCTAGGTCAGTGTTTTGAGGGTTCGTCACGTTATCATTACGCTGGCGTTATTCCTTCCTTCCTTCCTTTCTTTCTTTTTTCCGTTGTTGGCCGGGTCTTATCATGTCCATGATGTGCTGGGTTCGTGTTATCATTACACTGTTGCGCTAGCTCGTGTTACCGTGTGTCACATAACTAGCTAGGCAACCCAAGAGGTTTCGTATTAAAACTTTTCCTCTCTCCCCTTGATATGACTGCTCAACTCTTAGCAACCGTCTGCCTCCATCTCTTCCTCCCTCCCCTCTGCAGTCTTCAAGTGGGGCTTCAGCAGCCTGGGCTTCGAGTTTTGAGACGTCTCAAAACTTTGTCACCTCTTCCTCCCCCCCTCCTCCTCCCCCTCCCCCTCTCCCTCTCCCCTCTTCAGTCTTCAAGTGGGGCTCCAGCGGCCTGGGCTCCCTCACTGGACCCAAGCACAACGTGGCGGAGACAGATGATTTGAATGACTTATGCGATGTCTCATCTCATGAAGCATGTCTGCTTTACACGTCTCACTCACTTCTTCCGTCCTCTTCAAGTGGGGTTCCAGCGGCATGGGTTCCCCTACTGGACCCAAGCACAACGTGGCAGAGACAAAGGATATGAATGCGCTCGGTACCTGTGATGTCAAGAAAGCTATGAAAATGCATTTCAGTCTCTTCCTCCCTCCCCTCTGCAGTCTTCAAGTGGGGTTCCAGCGGCCTGGGCTCCCTTTTTGGACCCAAGCACAACGTGGCGGAGACACAGGATATGGATGTGATCGCTACCTGTGATGCCAAGAAAGCTACTAAAATTCTCGTGAAGACCGCGAGAAAGGCTAACACGAAAATCCCATGGAGAGGAATGTTTATCTTGAGCACTGTCGGGAAGGATTGTGCCAAGAAAGGCATCAGTATTATGATAATGGGCTGAGTTAAGGCTCTATCTTCGATAAGGTCATGTTAGAGGAAGCTTAATATGCTCGTGAATCAAGAGTTGAATCAAGAGTTGCAGTATCAGACTGTTTGCTTGTTTGTGATCAACTATTGTTTGTTCAGTCTTGTTCTGCATCTATTAATTAATTTTAGACCCCAAAACAGTCCCCAATGGGATTTTGAATATACTTCAGGAATTAGAGGGGATGGTGGGGAGGGCTATTTTATCAGTACCTGGACATTTTACTCTTCAAAGCTCTAGTATGAGTTATAGCGAACAGCTTTCAGAACACCTGCCCCACCTGTTTAGAATCCGAGTCTGAGATACTGCACGCGTAACAGAGACGACACTTTCGCGAATTCTTCTTTCACGACTTTTAACAAAGTGGCTGGGCGAATCTCGTGAGGTGGTAACGGGAAATGACGGTTGCGAGGTGGACAAACTTTCGCCACCGCTTTCGTTTCGAAAGACAAAGACGGGTTTGCGTGAGGAGGCAGAGAAGTCCTTTCTTGCGTCTTCGGTTTGGAGGAAAAACGTAAGGAACCCATTACTTCACAACACCATAAGTCCTGACTCCGGAGTTTCCGCATCAGATAGCTTGTTCTGTCCAAAGAGAGTCTGAAGCACGCGACTGAGTTTTGTTTCGAGAAGTAGGGAGAGGGGGAGATATAAAAAGTCGCGACTCTGAAGAACGCATAGGCGTTCCAATCGTTTCAAATCTCTCGACTTTCGCTGACCTGTGTCAGCATGACGTCAGTGACCACCGTATTAGGCGCTTCGATTAAAGCTGTCAATCTGCCGCCGAGTCTTACCGGGCATTTCTTAGGTCCTGCTCCCTCTGGTTCGTCGTGTCACCCCCGTTCCTCGTGCGTCGCTAACGATTCTCGTAAGCATTCGTTCGTCTCGTCTGTGCATGGGTGCTCGATCGTCTCGCATCGTTCGATTTCCGGCAGATTCGCCAGAAATGCGGTGGCGTTGCCACGTGTATGCCGGGTTGGCTCGATAAAAGCGTCCTCGATAAGGGCGTCCTCGGTAACGCCTTCCTCGGATGTGCCGCCCCCGGTGGTAGCGCGTAATAGCGCTTTGGAAAAGCCGTCGGGCGGGCAGGCGAAGAAAGGTTCGAAGAAGGGCGGGCAGAAGAAGGAAAAGAGTTACAAATCGGATGACAACGACTTGGAATTCGGAAGCATCGAGGAAATGCAGCGCTGGCTGGCGACGAAGCCCAAGGGGTTTATCGATCCGTCGAAGCAGTACGACACGTCGTTAGAGGATCAGCTCTTAGCGGAGATAGAAGAAAAGGAGCAGCAGAGGGATCAGGAGGTCTCAACGGGAGGAGGGAACAAGCCGGGAGGGAGCGGGGGGGTGAAGGCGGGAGAGAGGAAGGGAGAGGCTTAAGGGGAGAAGAGGGGACGGAACAGTCAAGGAGTGTTAGACGCGCCTGCAAAAGGGAAAAAGGCCAACACAGGTCAGGAATTTCCCGTTTTAGAAAAGCTTTGTTGAACATTTCTTTTTGTTTGGTCAGCTATTGTTCCTCCTCCCTGCCCATGTCCTGTCGATTCACCCACTCTAATGGTTTCGGGTTTTAGCCTCCTAGTTGTTGGTCGGGTTTCGGTTTTGACCTCTTAAATTCATTTCGTTGATGTGGCCGGGACGATTGAGAGCGCAAGCTTGGGCTTAGGTCAAGTTCTTGAGTCGGGTTTTTTTTTCTCGAGCACCAGTGACAGGAAGGGTTTAGGGCATGTGAGGGTTTTGGGGGGTCCTGGTTGGGCTGCTGGTTTGGCTGCAGGGTTTAACATCGGCAACCTTTCAACACTCAATAAGTTGTATCTAAGCTTCTCCCTGTCCCTGTCCCTCTCCATCTCCCTCTCCCTCCCCCTCCTCTCCCTCTCCCTCTCCGTTGCACTCCCTTTCCCTCTCCCTCTCCCACTCCCACTCCCACTCCCTCTCCCTGTCCCTTTTATCCCTCTCCCTCTCCCTCTCCATCTCCCTCTCCCCTTCCCTCTCCATCTTTCATTTCCCTCTCTCCCTCCCCCCTCCCCCCTCCCCCTCCCTCTCCTTCTCCCTCTCCCTCTCGCCCTCCCTCTCCCTCTCCCTCTTCCCTCCTCTCCCTCTCCCTCTCCCACTCCCACTCCCTCTCCCTCTCCCTGTCCCTTTTATCCCTCTCCCTCTCCCTCTCCATCTCCCTCTCCCCTTCCCTCTCCATCTTTCATTTCCCTCTCTCCCTCCCCCCTCCCCCTCCCCCTCCCTCTCCTTCTCCCTCTCCCTCTCGCCCTCCCTCTCCCTCTCCCTCTTCCCTCCTCTCCCTCTCCCTCTCCCACTCCTCTCCCTCTCCCTCTCCCACTCCCCTCCCTCTCCCTCTCCCACTCCCCTCCCTCTCCCTCTCCCTTTTCCCTCCCCTTTAACCCCCCCCCCCCCCCCTCCCCACCCCTTTCCCCTTCCCCGTACAAACCCCCTAACAAACCGACCCTTTTCAATTTCTCAGTCTCGAGCCTTCCTCCATCAGCCATAAAAGTGCAAGTGTTGGGGCTGGTGGTCAGGTTCTGGGTTTACCGTTTGCAGCATCTGACTCCTCAATCAGTCGTATCTAAACTCCTCCTGTCTCGATTGAATTCTCTCAGACTCAGACCTTCGACCATCAACCATAAAAGTACGAGCGTTTGAACTGCTGGTTAGCTTCAGGGTTTACCATTTGCAGCCTTCCAACAATCCATCAATTGTGTCTAAACTCCTCTTTCCCTCTCCCCCCCCTCTCCATCTTCCTCCTCCTCTTCCTCTCCCCATTTCTCTCCCCTGTAACCACCCCCTCCTCCTCCTTCCCCCTCCTCCCCCCCCCTCTCTCCCTCACACACACACACCCACAATTTCCAATTTTCAGACTCGGACCTTCCATCGTCAGCCATCAAGGTTCGTGTCTCCGGGCTGCCCAAGAAGAAAAAGATCGCCAGGGACCTGCGGGCAGCGTGGAACGGACAGCCCGGGCTGCTGAAAATAATTCCCATGGAGTCGAGATCCTCTAGCACGCGCGACCCGGTGTGCACTGGGAGTGCCGTGGTGGCTTTTGCGAATATCGCAGCGGCTCAAAGGTATGCTATCAGGTTTAGTGCGGTGCAATGCGGTTGGTGTGGGCCTAGTGGTAGCATGTAGTAATCCCCATGGAGTCTGGAACCTCTAGCACGCGCGACCCGGTGTGCACCGGGAGTGCTGTGGTGGGCTTTACGGATATGGCAGCCGCTCAAAGGTATGCAAATGGGTTCAGTGCGGTGCAAATGGATTTAGTGCGGTGTATAGCACTCGCGACCCTGGGTGTGGTATAAGGCACTTTTTGGTGGAAGCACGTAGTAATTCCCATGGGGACTGCATCCTCCTCTAGCACGCAGGACCTGGTGTGTACTGGGAGTGCTGGTGGGCTTTTAAGGATATTGCAGCGGCTGAGAGGTATGCAATTGGGTTGAGTGCGGTGCGGTGCAAGGCAGTCGGTGCTTGTGTGGGTGTGGTATAAGGCACTTTTTGGTGGAAGCACGTAGTAATTCCCATGGGGACTGCATCCTCCTCTAGCACGCAGGACCTGGTGTGTCCTGGGAGTGCTGGTGGGCTTTTAAGGATATTGCAGCGGCTGAGAGGTATGCAATTGGGTTGAGTGCGGTGCGGTGCAAGGCAGTCGGTGCTTGTGTGGGTGTGGTATAAGGCACTTTTTGGTGGAAGCACGTAGTAATTCCCATGGGGACTGCATCCTCCTCTAGCACGCAGGTCCCGGTGTGCACTAAGAGTGCTGTGGTGGGCTTTAAGGATATGGCAGCCGCTCAAAGGTATGCAAACGGGTTCAGTGCGGTGCAAGACTCTTCTAGCACGCGCGACTCTGTGTGAACAGGGAGTGCCATGGTGGGATTCGGAGGTGTGGCAGCGGCTCAGTAGTATGCAAATGGGTACAGTGCGGTATAAAGCAGTTGGTGTGGTTAGCATAGCATGTAATCGTTTCACGAATCCTTCTCTAGCGCCCTCGACCCGGTGTGCACTGGAAGTGCCGTGTTGGCTTTTATGGATATGGCAGCGGCTCAAAGGTATGCAAGTGGGTGCAGTGCGGTGCAAGACGGCTTCTCCTCTAGCACATGCGACCCGGTGTGCACTGGGGTCGCCGTGGTGGGATTCTTTTATTCGGCAGATGCTGACAGGTGGGTACAGTGCAGTGCAAATGGATTCTGTGCGGTGCAATGCAGTCGATGTGGTGGTAGCACGTGACAATAATTCCCACGGAGACCGGATATCCTCCTCTCGCAGGGATCTTTTTAGAATTCTCAATAGAGAGACCGGATCCTCCTCTAGCAAGCGCGACCCCGTGTGCAGTGCACTGGGGGTTGGGTTCTATGATGCAAGTGGTTCTAGTGCGGTACAAGGCGGTTCAGTGCGGTGCAAGGCGGTTGGTGTGGTTCTGGTAGTAACATGAATTAATTCCCATGGAGACCGGATCTTCCTCCTCTAGCACGCGCGATCCTGTGTGCACTGGGTGTGCCGTGGTGGCGTTTTTGCAATAGGCGGACGCTGAAAGGTGGGTTCTGTGCGGTGCAATGCGGTTGATGTGGGTGTGGTGGTAGTAGGCTGGTATCATGTGATAATAATTCCCATGGAGACCGGATCTTCCTCCTCTAGCACGCGCGATCCTGTGTGCACTGGGTGTGCCGTGGTGGCGTTTTTGCAATAGGCGGACGCTGAAAGGTGGGTTCTGTGCGGTGCAATGCGGTTGATGTGGGTGTGGTGGTAGTAGGCTGGTATCATGTGATAATAATTCCCATCGAGACCGGATCTTCCTCCTCTAGCACGCGCGATCCTGTGTGCACTGGGTATGCCGTGGTGGGCTGGGCTTTAAGGATATTGGAGCGGCTCACAGGTATGCAAATGGGTTTGAGTGCGGTGCAAGTCTGATCCTCTTCTGGCACCTTGTGGTCCGTCCTTGTGTCCTTTCGCATCTGGTGGACGGGCGCTGAAAGGTGGGTCTCTTGTGGGGTGCGAGTGGATTCAGTGCGGTGCAAATGGGCCCATTGCGGTGCAAGAGAGTTGGTGGGGTTAAGTTAGGCTGGTAGCATGTGATAATTTCCATAGAGACCGGATCCTCTTGTAGCAAGCGCGACCATGAACTGCCTTTCATCTCACCCCCATCTCAATCATCCTTCCCAACCCTTTTCCCCTCAATCTCCTTTTGACGCGTCTCAAAAATGTGATAATCTCCGTAGAGACTGGATCCTCTTCTAGCAAGCGCGACCATGAACTGCCTTTCATCTCACCCCCATCTCGCTCCTCCTTCTCACTCCCCCTCCTCTTCCCTCCCCGGCCTCCATTACCCCGCACCCCACCCCCTCTATCAGGTTCATTTTTAGTCGACTCAAATATCATCCTTCCCCTCCGCTTCCCTCCCCAGCCCCCATCACCCCCCACCCCACCCTGCCTATCAGGTTCATTCAGGAACGATTCAGCCCCCATCCGCTTTGGTGAGAAGGAGAAGGCTGTTTCCTGCAAGCCTTTTGAGGCGCCTCAAAAGTCGATTCAGCCCCCATCCGCTTTGGTGAGAGGGAGAAGGCCGGTCGCCGATTCAGCCCCCATCCGATTCAGGCTGTTTCCTGCCGCTGCCGCTGCCGTCGTTTCAGGAAGGCTGTTTCCTGCAAGCCGGTCGCCGTCGTTGCTGCTGACTCTCACTCCCCTCTTCCTCCCCTCTTCCTCCCCTCCTCTCTTTCTCGCCCCCCCTCCCCCACTCCCTCCTCTCCTCCCCCATCAGGTTCATGCAGCAGTACAATCGCTCTGCCCCCATCCAGTTTGGTCAGAAGGAAAAGGCCATTTCATGCAAGCTCGTTGGCGCATCTGCTGCTGACTCCCTCTCCCCTCTTCGTCCCCTCGTCTGTCCCCCTTCCCCCATCAGGTTCATGCAGCAGTACAATCGCTCTGCCCCCATCTGCTTTGGTCAGAAGGAGAAGGCCGTTTCGTGCAAGCTGATCGGCACCCCTGCTGCTGACTCTCTCTTCCCTCTTCCTCCCCTCTTCCCTCTTCCTCCCCTCTTCCCTCTTCCTCCCCTCTTCCCTCTTCCTCCCCTCTTCCCTCTTCCTCCCCTCTTCCCTCTTCCTCCCCTCTTCCCTCTTCCTCCCCTCTTCCCTCTTCCTCCCCTCTTCCCTCTTCCTCCCCTCTTCCTCCCCTCATCCCCTTCCCCCCTCACCCCCCACTTCTCCTTCAGGTTCATGCAGCAGTACAATCGCTCTGCCCCCATCCTTTTCGGTCAGAACGAGAAGGCCGTTTCATGCAAGCTCATTGTTGGCGCTGCTGCTGAATCGCTCTCCCCTCCCCTCCCCTCTTCCCCTCCTCCTCTCCCCCTCTCCCCTCCTCCCCCCCTCCTCTTCCCCCCCCCATCAGGTTCATGCAGCAGTACAATCGCTCTGCCCCCATCCGGTTTGGTCAGAAGGAGAAGGCCGTTTCCTGCAAGCTCATAGGCGCATCTGCTGCTGCTGATTCTCCTCTGCTGCAAAGCGACCGTGCTAAGAGCAATTCCGTTAGTAGCAGTTCCGTTCAGAGCAGTTCTGGTAAGAGCAGTGATGCTACTGTTCCAGCCGTAGCAAGAGCAGCAACAATGGCAGCAACAGCAGCAGCGGTGCCAACGGCAGCAGTAGCGGCAGCAGTGGCAGCAACAGCTGCAGCAGCACCAGCGGCAGCAGCAGAGGTGGAAACAGGCGTGTTGGCAGCAGAGAGAGAACGGCAAGAAGGGGAGGATGAGACAATGAGGAGGGGAGAGACAATGAGGAAAGAGGAGGATCGGGAAGAGGAGGATCGGGAAGAGACGGCTGCTGGAAAGAAGGGAGACACGCCTCCCAGAAGCTATGAAGTGCAAGGGACTAAGGGGGATAATCAGGAGGAGGATCAGGAAGAAGTGGTTGAAGGGAATAAGGGCGGTAAGATGACTAGGGAGAACAAAGTGCAGGGGAAAGCGGTTGTTGCAGGAAAAGGGAGTTTGCAGGAGAGAAATTTGCAGGAGAAGAAAGAAGCATGGTTGCAGAGGTTAAGGGAGGATAAGGAGCTAAGGGCGCGGGTGGAGGAGATTAAGAGGAAGGTTCTAAGAGATATGGCGGCAGGAGGGAGGGAAGGGGAGGTGGGAGGTGGAGGGGGGATTGGAGGGAGTGGAAGGCTGAGGGTTAAGGAAAAGGGTGTGACTGTGTCGAGATTGGGGGTAAGGGAGAGGGGAGGGGGACAGGGGAGGGTTATGGAGGGGGAAGGGGTGAAGGGGAAATTGAGAGAGGAGGAGGGAGGAGGGAGGATGAAAGAGGAGGAGCAGGAGTGGGAGGAAGAGGAGGAAGAGGAGGGAGAATGGGAGGAGGGTGAGGAGGGTGAGGAGTGGGAAGAGGAGGAGGAGGAGGAGGAGGAGGACGAGGAAGAAGAGGAAGAGGAGGATGAAGGGGAAGTGATAATGGGCGAAGTGGAGGTGACTGTAGAGAGTATTACAGTTGAGAGCGTTACTGCTGGAAGTGATTATATTGGATGTGATTCTGTTGAAGGAGAATCAGCTATCAGTCCTGCTACACTTGCTGCTTCAGCAACAGCAGCAGCAACAACAGCAACAGAGAAGGCACATGCTACCTCTCCATCCGTTTCTCTTCCCCCCCAGCAACCCAAAGGGGTAAAGCAGCAAGGAGGGGAGGGGGGGCAAAGGAAGGGAGAGGGCAGAGGAGAGGAGGAGGAGGAGCAGCAGAGGGCGGCTGAGGCGCGCATTGAGGCTCTTGAAGCGAAGCTGCTTAAAATGAGTCAGGCGGGAGGGGGAAGTGAAGGGGGAGGGAGTGAGGGAGGAGGGAAAAGAGGAAAGGGGAGGAGGACCAAGGAGGGAGGGGGAAAGCGCAGGTAGGGCTAAGGAATGAGGGAGATGGAGGAGGAAAGGAGAGGCAGGGGAAGGCGGGGGTGTAGAACGTCTGGAAGATTCTTTTGTGAGTTTAGATTCCAAGGAGCTTGTTGTTGCCATTTGATTCTGCTAACAAACAATATTTGGGCAGGGAAAATATTTGATTCTGCCAAATACGGTTTCCTAAGTTCGAAACATCTGATGGGGCGGACTCGGCAGGGCCCATCCAGTTGCTTGCTCAAAAGCAGACAATTCCTGGGATTGTGTTGTGAACCATACTTTTGGTGTTGTGACATCCTGTTGCCTGTGTTCTAGAGTTACCGTTATCTACCACAAAGTATTCAGTGAGCCATAGGAGGGAGGCAAAGAGAAGGGTTAGGAGCAGAGCAGCTTTTCAACCATAGCTTCAGAATACTGAGCAACTTCATAACACGAGCCCATCAGCTCAGGTTTCAGGCACCATCAGTCACGAAACCAACCACCCGCCTGGCCTAACACCCTAAACGAGAAATGAGCCCTGGCCCAGACCGAATCAGGCCATCGCCAGCATGTGACCTTTGTGAGAAGAGCTTCTTATTATTTAGCTATTATCAACATTGCTAGAAAGCAGAAATTAGTATTTGACATGACAGAAACAAGAAACTAGGAGCCTAAGCACTCGTGAACTTGGTCACGGCTTTTGTTCCCTCGGACACAGCGTGCTTCGCCAGCTCTCCAGGCAGCGTCAGCCGAACAGCCGTCTGAATCTCGCGAGACGTAATAGTCGGCTTCTTGTTGTACCGCGCGAGCTTCGACGCCTCCGTCGCGAGCTTCTCAAAAATATCATTTATAAAGGAGTTCATGATTGACATGGCCTTGGACGAAATCCCCGTGTCTGGATGAACCTGCTTCAGCACCTTGTAGATGTAGATCTTGTACGTTTCCGTGACGGCCTTGCGAGCCTTTTTCTTCTCTTTCTTCTCGCCGATGGGTTTCTTTCCCGCGGGAACGGCTTTCTTAGCGGCGGGCTCCTTCTTGGGTCCCTTCTTGGCTGCCTTCTGCTCCCCTTCTACCTTTGGCGCCATGATAACGCAGAGTTAATCGACAAACAAGTGGTTGACAGAAAATAGAGCCTTAGAAGTGACGGCAGGATGAAGCACTGAAAAGCGGTGGTCACGAACGTTGTATAAGGAAGCTAACGGACTTAGGAAATGCGAGAGTGGGCGCTTGAGATACAGAAGACCAGTGCTGCACTGACGTATTTCAAGAGTTTGGACTGGGTTGGGGAAGAGAGTCCATGGCTGGAGCTGCGTGCATGGTGCACGGGCTCTTGGGAATTGCTGCAAGGCTCGAAACAGTTGTGTTTGTTTGTGCTTTCAAAGTTAGCCAATGAGAAGCTGGGTGACAGATCGAAACGTTTTCTATGAACCGTCGATGAAGAACCATGTGATTCGCTTGACCGTCAATTGAAGTTTCAGCTAGCTTTTGCGGTCGTGCATGGAGTGGTAACTTTACGAACACTATTTCGTCGGGTGCAACTCTACACAGCTTGTCCAGATTGTAAACCAATCAAATATCGCGATTGCAAAATTTTGGGATCGACGCGGATTAGGGATATCCGTCGATACGCCTTTCAAAATGTTTCTCATCGACGACCAAGAAGCTTCAACACCACCGAACAATGCGCCAACTCATCTCAACACAACACAGCACCACCAGACTGGGCTGGGCAAATCCACCAATCCACCACACTAAACCACACCAAAACGTACTGCACCGTGTTGTCCATTGTTTCTCTCTTCTGGTCTGGCAAAGCTACCCTGGCCACAATGTCTGAATAAAAGAGCAGTGAATCGCTCCTTCTTTCCATAGTTCCAGTTCCTTCGCTCCAAGCCCACAGTTCCTGTTCTTCCACACTTCAGCTCCATCGTTCCAGTCGTTGCTTCAGTTTATCAGATTGAAGAACCACCTTATCTCCAGTGAAGTCCAGTTGATCTTCCAAGGCATCGTCGCATCGTCTTCGGCTATCTCTGAGAAAGTATCGACCGGGTCTCCGTGTGCCGTTAATCTCCGTTACACATCATGTCGGGACGCGGCAAGGGAGGCAAGGGCCTCGGAAAAGGAGGCGCGAAGCGTCACAGGAGGTTCTTCGCGATAACATCCAAGGCATCACCAAGCCGGCTATCAGGCGTCTCGCTCGTCGCGGCGGCGTCAAGCGTATCAGCGGTCTAATCTACGAAGAGACTCGCGGCGTGCTGAAGGTGTTTCTTGAGAATGTCATTCGCGACGCTGTGACTTACACGGAGCACGCGCGGAGAAAGACGGTTACTGCCATGGATGTGGTTTATGCGTTGAAACGCCAAGGCAGAACCCTGTACGGCTTTGGCGGCTAATTTAGCAATAAGACCCGCTGTCTAGTTCTAACATTTTTTACAATAATGTTCCCCGCACCCTATCGCCTCCCCCCTCCCCCCCCTCTCCCCAATCCCCCCCACAGCTCTCCTCCACAACAGCCCCCCCCCCTCCCCAATTTCCCCCTCACTTCCCCCCAATCTTCCCTCACTGCCAAGCAGAAACGACTCGGGCAGAGCCTGCAAACCCCTGCCTCTATCCCTCCCCTCCCTCCCCAGTCTCTCCCCATATTCCCCCCAATTTCCCCCTCACCTCCCTCCAATCTTCCCCCCTCACCTCCCCCCAATCTTCCTCCACTCTCATGGCGCCGTCACCCAAGCAGAAACGATTCGGGCAGGGCTTGCAAATTCACGACCCCTACCCGCTCCCCCCCCCCCCCTTCTCCCCCCATTCGCCCCCAAATCTTCCCCTACTGGCAGGGCCTGCAAACCCCCGGGCCCCCCTTCCTCCTCCAGATCTCCAACCCAACTTCCCCCTCTTGCCCCCCAAGTTTCCCCCCAGCTTCCCCCAATCTTCCCGCAATCCCCCCCTTACCTCTCCCCGATTCCCCCTCAACCTCTTCCCCAGTCTCCCCCACTCTCTTCCCAATCTCCCCTCTGCTTCCCCAAAAATTCCCCCGATTACCCCCCCAAACCCATTCTTCCTCCCCCCCACCACTTCCCCCAACCTCCTGTCTACCTTCCCTCACTCCTACTCCAAACCTCCTAACCGCCATCCCCTCTGTTCTTATACTCTCAAATGCTTTCCCTTTTTCGATGCTCACCTCCCCGCCTGATGCGTCGGTTTTTGAGTCGACTCAAAAACAAATCGCCATCCCCTCTGTTCTTATTCTTTCAAATGCTGGCCCTTTTTCGATGCTCTCCTCCCCCCCGCCTCTCACATGCACCTCCCGCCTCTCACATGCACCTCCCGCCTCTCACATGCACCTCCCGCCTCTCACATGCACCTCCTGCCTCTCACATGCACCTCCCGCCTCTCACATGCACCTCCTGCCTCTCACATGCACCTCCCGCCTCTCACATGCACCTCCCGCCTCTCCCATGCACCTCCCGCCTCTCACATGCACCTCCCGCCTCTCACATGCACCTCCTGCCTCTCACATGCACCTCCCGCCTCTCACATGCACCTCCCCGCCTCTCACATGCACCTCCCGCCTCTCACATGCACCTCCCGCCTCTCACATGCACCTCCCGCCTCTCACATGCACCTCCCGCCTCTCACATGCACCTCCCGCCTCTCACATGCACCTCCCGCCTCTCCCATGCACCTCCCGCCTCTCACATGCACCTCCCGCCTCTCACATGCACCTCCTGCCTCTCACATGCACCTCCCGCCTCTCACATGCACCTCCCGCCTCTCACATGCACCTCCCGCCTCTCATATGCACCTCCCGCCTCTCACATGCACCTCCCGCCTCTCACATGCACCCCCCTCCGCTCACGGATTTTTTCCATTCCCAAGTTCACCTCTCATCCCCAATCCTCACATTTCTCCTGTAATTCAAAATTCAGTCCACTCGATTTTCCTCCATACCAAACCAATCCAATCCAAACCAATCCAATCCAATCCAATCCCCTCTTCTTTCCACGTTGGACTGCCACGTATGACCTGCAAGCACTGCATTTTGCATGTATCCCTGCTTCCTCCTCCTACCCTTCTCTTCTCCCACACACCCCTCCCTCAGGTGGGACTTCCACATCTGGCCGGCAATCGTTGCATGCATGCCCCTTCTAGGTGCACCCCCCCCCACTGGTGCTCCTCCTTCCCCCCAATGCATCGCTCTCCCTCCCCCTCCCCTATTCCCTTCCCTGCATTCCCCCTCTAGGTGCGTTATAAGACCCTGTTGGCCTAACCCAGTTCCCTCCGCCCTTCCTCCCCTCTCCCCTCTTCCTATCCACCCACCCCCAGGTGGGACTTCCACATCTGGCAGGCAATCGTTGCGTGCATGCCTTCGTTAGGTGCGTCATCAGCAGCCTCGTTCATCCTATAACCACTTCCTTCCTTTCCCCTTCCTCCCCCTTCCCCACTCCAACTCCCCGCCTCCCCCCCATCCCCACAGGTGGGACTTCCACATCTGGCAGGCGATCGTTGCGTGCATGCCCCCTCTAGGTGCGTTATAAACAGCCTCGTTCATGCCATAAGCACTGGTAGTAGCAGCAGCGTATGGTCTCTATAAGAATCACAGACACCAGCACCAAGTGCTGACACGGCTAGTAGAACTCCCTGCAATTGTTGCTTGCATGCCACCTTCAGTCTAAACACTGGTAGTAGCAGCAGCGTATGGACTCTGTAAGAATCACTGTCACAAGCACCAAGTGCTGTCACAAGCACCAAGTGCTGGAACGGCTAGTAGAACTTGCTGCAATTGCTTTTGAGTCGACTCAAAAGTTGGCTCCATAAGAATCACTGACACCAGCACCAAGGCGAGATTGTGACGATGATTAGAATGGTTGTGAAGGGAGTGTGTAGGGAGTGTGTAGGGAGTGTGTAGGGAGTGTGAAGGGAGTGTGAAGGGAGTGTGGAAGGAGTGTGAAGGGAGTGTGAAGGGAGTGTGTGAAGGGAGTGTAATGTCCAGGATTAGAGTGGTACGCTCGTTTCAGATTCCCCCCTTTCCTCTTTCTCCCCACTTTCTCCTCCCCCCCTCTTCCCCTCTCCCCCCCTCTTCCCCTCTCCCCCACTCTCCTCCCTGCAGCTTTGTATCTGACCATGCAATATGCGAAAGCATCTCAGGAATTGAAGAAGTGTTTCGAGACGTCTCAAAACACTTCTTCAAACACGTAGCTTTGTGTGTGACCATGCAATATGCCAAAGCATCTCCGGATTGGCCCTCTCAAAATCCCCGCATCAACCCCCCCAGCACACCTGCCTTTCCCCTTCCTCCCCCTCTCCCCCTCTCCCCCTCTCCCCCTCTCCCCCCCTCCCCTTCTCCCCCTCTCCCCTTGCAGCGGTGTATCTGACCGTGCAATATGCCAAAGCAGAGATTGCAAGGATGGAAAAGGTGAGTGTTGGAGGGGGTGGTTTCTGAGTCGACTCAAAGGATGGTTTAGAGAATGGTATAGTGGACGGTCGCTTGACTTTCTGACTGTGGGGGGGTGGTGTGGGGGGGATATCAGTGATCCAGTATGGAGTGCAAAAGTGAGTGTAGGGGGGTGGTTTGGGGGAGATATCAGTGATTCAGAAGGGAATATGAGTTGAGTTGAGATACACCCTACCGTGCATTTGAGAATGGAATGCTGGGGGGACGAGTGAAAATAGTATTGTGGACCAGGAATTGATCCCTCCTTGACCATCTGACTGTGCAGTATGCCAGAGCAGGGATTGTGAGGATGGAAACGGGAGAGTGTGGGGGGGTGGGTTGGGGGGGATGTCATTGATTTTACAAGGGAGTGTGAGTTGAGATACACCCTACCGTGCATTTGAGAATGGGTTGGGGGGGGGTGTCGTTAATTCAAAAGGGAATGCTGGGGATGAGTGAAATTACTATAATGGCCGGAGATTTGACTAGGTGGCTCCTGAGGCGACTCAATTAGTGAACGGACCCTTGACTATCTGACTGACTGCGCGCAGTGTGCCAAAGAAGAATGAACGAGTGCGGGGGGGGTATCAGTGATGCCGAAAGGGGGGGGGGTGGGTTCTTGGGGGGGATGTTATTAACTTAGAAGGGATTGCTGGGGATGAGAAGGGTGAGTAGGGAGGAGAGCAGTGATTATGCGCTGAGTGTGGGGGGGTGGCCTGTTTGGGATGTCATGAATTCCAAAGGGAATGCTGGGGATGAGTGAGAATATATCAGTGGGTGGTAATTTGACTAAGTGACTTCTGAGGCGACTCAATTAGTGAAAGGACCCTTGACTATCTGACTGAAAATTGCCCAAAGCAGGGTCTGCTGGGAAGGAAAAGGTGAGTGTGTTGGCCTAAAGGTGAGTGGAAAGGGAGAAGTGAGTGTGTGTGGCGTGTGTGTTTGGAAGAGATGTCAGTGATTTACAGTGGAGTGGCAGTTGGTGTGGGGGGGGAACCTTGAGGTCTACTCATGTGCTCTCATGTGCTCCCATGTGCTCCAACCATGCCCCGTCACATGCCTCTATGTGCCTTGCCACGTTTCCTTGCCCCTTCACTTGCTTCTGTGCCTTGCGGTGTTTCCTTGCCCGAAACGTCAAGGAGAGTGAGGGTGGCAGTGGGAATGAGGGGGAACCGTGAGGTCTACTCATGTGCTCCCGTGCTCTCATGCCCCTTCACGTGCCTCTATGTGCCTCGCGGTGTTTCCTTGAAGCAGGGCGGAAGAGGCATCTGCAGTCAAGGGGAGTGAGAGTGGGAGGGGCTGTGAAGGGGAGACCTTGAGGTCTACTCATGTGCTCCCGTGCTCTCATGCCCCTTCACGTGCCTCTATGTGCCTCGCGGTGTTTCCTTGAAGCAGGGCGGAAGAGGCATCTGCAGTCAAGGGGAGTGAGAGTGGGAGGGGCTGTGAAGGGGAGACCTTGAGGTCTACTCATGTGCTCCCGTGCTCTCATGCCCCTTCACGTGCCTCTATGTGCCTCGCGGTGTTTCCTTGAAGCAGGGCGGAAGAGGCATCTGCAGTCAAGGGGAGTGAGAGTGGGAGGGGCTGTGAAGGGGAGACCTTGAGGTCTACTCATGTGCTCCCGTGCTCTCATGCCCCTTCACGTGCCTCTATGTGCCTCGCGGTGTTTCCTTGAAGCAGGAGCTACAGGCGGAAGAGGCATCTGCAGTTAAGGGGAGTGAGTGTGGGAGGGACTGTGAAGGGGAGACTGTGAGGTATACTCCTGTGCTCCCATATGCTCCAACCATGCCCCTTCATGTGCCTCTACGTGCCTTGCGGTGTTCCCTTGCTGCAGGAGCTATGGGCACAGGAGGCATTCACAGTCAAGGAGAATGAGAGTTGGAGTGTTGGGAAGAATGAGGAGGGAGACCGTGAGGTCTACTCGTGTGCTCCCGTGCCCTCTACCCATGCCCCTACGTGCTTCTATGCCTTGCAAAGTTTCCTTGCTGCAGGAGCTTCAGACTGACGAGGAATCTGCAGTGAAGGAGAGAGAGAAGGAGAGGGATGTGGAGGGGGGAACCTTGCGGTCTACTCGTGTGCTCCCGTGCTCTCTGCCCCATGCCCCTTCATGTGCCTCTACAGGCAGAAGACGCATCTACAGTCAAGGGGAGTGACAGTTGGAGGGGGAGTGAGAGGGGGAAACCGTGAAGTCTACTCGTGTGCTCCCGTGCTCTCTGCCCCATGCCCCTTCATGTGCTTCGATGCACTGTGGTGTTTCCTTGAGGCAGGTGCTACAGGCAGAAGAGGCATCTGCAGTCAAGGAGAGAGAGAGTGGAAGTGAGATTGTGAGTTGGCGGAAGGGGCGACTCTTGAGACATCTACTCCTTCTCATGCGATAGATTGTTTTCATCTACTCCCTACACGTGTTTCTTTCGCATGTTTCCCTGGCAGGAGCTTCAGGCAGAAGAAGCATCTGCAGTCAAGGAGAGTGAGGGTGAGGGGGGAAACATCGAAAGATGTGGTACATCATTTCATCTACTTCCTTCACGTGTTGCGTTTGCATGTTTCCCTGAAGCAGGAGCTTCAGGCAGAAGAGGCATCCGCAGTTAAGGGGAGTGAGGGTGATGGAGGGAGGCAGGAAGGTGCGGAAACAGCTACAGCTGACTTGTCACCAGCTCGCAAAAATGTCACCACGGGGCACAGTGACGTGGCATCTGCTGATGTGGCAACTGTTGACGTGGCGTCGCTGCAGCGCCAGCTGGCGGCGCTGGCCAGTCAGGTGCAGCAACTGCAGGGATTGGTGGGTGCTGGTGGGGGAGGGGATGGCAGGGGAGGGGGAGGGGAGGGTAGTGATAGAAGAAAGGGAGGGAATGCTGGGGGAGGGAGTAAGAGAGGTGAAGGAGAGAGAACGGTAGGAGGAGAGGGAGAAGGGGGAGAAAGGGGGGAAAGCGGAGGAGGGAGTGGAGGGGGAGGAGGAAAGGCAGCGGGAGTGGGAGGAGAACCGACACAAGCACCTCAAGGGCAAGGGGGAGTGGGGGAGAGAGGAGTGCCGAATCCTGCTTCTGCAGATTTGAGACAAATCAAAGGCCCTGGCATGGTAACAACAGTGAATGGTGAAGCAAGTAAAAAACCACAATAAACTTTATTTGGGAGATCCGGTATCCTTCGCTTGCAAAGACTGCTGGAGTTGGCGGTAGTGATGGTGCCGGCGTGAAAATCGCGAGTTTTGCAGGTAGATAGGTATGACTAAGTATTAACCATATTAGCAGATGTTTGGGATATGGTTTCTGTAATTTTTTTGTTTTTTTTTTGAGAAAATACAGCACCAATGCATGTGTTACACAATGTCAAAATGATTTAATGACAATGTAAAAGGTATGGAACGCCTTGACAAGGATTAAGAGGTCAGGTGTGAATACAGAGAGGTGCAGTTCATTGGAGATTGGGTTCTTTGGGTATGTAATGAGTTATATTTCTTGTGGTAATATTGTCTGTATACTACGGTACTTATATGGCAGATTTAGCTCGTACTCTTCCGAAAGGCAATTCTGCCACTAGCGGGTATCGGACCCGTGTCGCCCTGAAACCACAGGCCCCCTGTGGTTCAGTTGCGACGGTTTGCACTGTATTCCCCATCCATTCCGTCCACTCTCCGCCGTCCAGCAGCGCAGCAGCTTGTGGGGGAAAGTGGGGCGGAAGGGTGGGTGCGGTTAGCTGGCAGCTGCGCGACGGGGGCATCGCCTATTGTGATGCGTTGGGCGGAAAGCTTGGCATTTGCGGAACGGAGCCATTTAGCTGGCGCCAGGCAAGAAACCTATTTCTCGCGTGGCAATTACAGGTGACGGACCAACCATATCCCCAAATATAAACTGGATGGTGTGGTACGGTACCGTACGGTGTGGTAGATGTTTGTGTGGTACAGGATGGTGTGGTACGGATGTGTTGTATGGTACGAGATGGGTAGCGGATCCCTATTTCAGTGGCAGTGCTCGGTATGCTCCCCTCCACCACCTAGACACAGTGGCATAACTCAGAGCAGGTCTAGGTAGTGGTGAGAGTTGTGAGGAGAAGGTAGGTAGTGAGCGGCGTCGCCGACTCACCTCGCCATGATTCATTCGAAGACACCTGATGTGCGCTGTCCTACAGTATGTATTTTCATGTTGTGCCTTGGTCCTTTCAGGCCACTGGCCTGTACTGCTTCGTTTCGAGGCCTTCTTATGCACGGAGAGCGTCGCGTCGCGTCGCGCCGCGTCCATCACGCCACTGAAATTTCCAGAGCCTAGGTTTGCTGTTCCCAAGATAGATTTTTTACTAGCCACTGAAGTTGAGGTTGATATTGCAGGACTTGAACGGGTCACTGCGCCAGCCTGGCATTTTATGTGTCCGTCTGAAATACAGTAAATCAATCACAGCAGCAGTTGTTTGCTTCACGTGCTCCGTTACCGTGCACGCATCCGATTGCGTGAAGAGAACAGCGTTGCTGTTTAGTGTGCGGTGTCCGTCAATCACGCGTCAAACTTACAATCATAAAGCAGTTGTTGTGTCTACCATAGCAGTTGGATAAGAATGTCCTATCCAACCTCTTCCGAAGCGCAACTTGCATCCATTGGGTTCTGCAGCCTCTGCTGGTCTTCATCGTCACCGTCCATTCTGTACGGTGATGACAGTAGCATTACAGTCTATAGCATACCTGACGCTCGTCAAGGTCTGTTCATGACTGTATCAGCATGCGTAGAGAACGGCCGAGACATTGAAGCATGACTGTGAAAAGCTGACAAACTTCGCCCAGGCTTGAAATAGCATGTCGTTTCGTGGCACGCACACAAGCGCTTCGACTTGATTGGCTTCTAAACAGTCTGTGTGCTGCTTGAAAACAGGACTACATTCATCCACTGGGCCAGTGACTCTTTGCAGGAGTGTTCGATCGACTGCTCGGTTCCTCACAAAGATTCTGGTCTTGGCATTGTCAGTTGCGGGAGTACAAAACCGCTGTAGGTTGCTCAACATATACAGTATTGTTTTTCCATATTAGGAGTCCTGATCAGAAGTTAGCATTTGACGTTCCTAACTCGAACGTTGGCAACACCGTCTTAGGGCTTGGAGCGCTAGGGGGCCTTTCGGTCAGACCTAAGGCAGCATGTCGATGCGCAATGCAGTTTCCCGGCTCTCGCCGCGAGTGGGCTTTGTGGACTGGGCTGGGATTGCAACGGATGCTGGGAGGACAAGACTCGGAAGCCATGAAAATCTTGGATCCCCGCAGTCACAGCAGAAAGTGCGCAGAGCAAAGAAGCGGATTGTCAGAAGCTCCAGTTTCCCGGGAGGGATAAACAACGGCGACGAGGAGGCACGTAGCATGAATGGGTATTCCCCCTTGGTTGGTAACATGATGGGGAGCGTCGTTAATATCTCCATGGATGATTGTCTCTGCTCCTGTGGTCACGAAATGGTTTCTGAGCGTTCCGATATCTCAGCATCATGGGGAGCAGGTGATAGAACGGAAAAGGCCAAGGAGATTTTTGAAGGGCTGGTGGATCGTGGCGCGGTTGCTTATGGTGGCTGGGAAGCGCAAGCCTCTCCAAGAATTAATAACTACACATCAAGAAAGAGCTCCTTGCGCAGCCCTACTGGAAGTCCGTGCTCCAAGGGGGCTCGTAGAGTCAGTTTTTCAAGACAAGTGCTGGTGATTACCGTTTGAGCATGGAAGGACTCTGGCACCACCTCCATGCTTTCGTTTTCCGTGCAAGCAATGCACGCTGGCTCCATTTTTTGCATCGTGGCCCATGTGGCCAGATGCTGAAGTGTATAACATAAATTAGACGTTCTTGGTTTTGTGGAGGCTTTTTTACTCGTTTGGAGACACCAACATTATGTATCTTGCCTTTGTTTGAAGTGTATATAGATTTTACTTCTTACGGAAACGAGACGCAAGAATTGGGAATGTCGAATCAAAACCACCTGTTCTCGACAGCTCTCAGCAAGAGGTTCGTCTCCCCTTCTGGGGCCTGTCTGTACCCGCTCATCATTACCCCACTCAACCGTTTTACATGCTTACTCACCTCATTGAGCCGCATTGCCTTTGGGCATACCCAAGCTCCTGGACACAGATTTTCGAATGTTTGTTTTATTGAAGAATTCTATCGCCTAGAGATCTTCACTTCAGCATTTCTTGGGATCTACTCTCATCAATTCAGGGGAACCTGGATATTGCAAGTCATTGAGAGCTCCGCTTCTACGATTCCTCGAAAGCATCTGCATCGGAGCCTTGGCTTTATCGGAAGAACTGGCGGGAAATATATTTTCGAAAGGCGAAGACGATAGCGCGATGGCGACTCGGGCCATGGATTGTGACGAAAGTCCTCGCTCACTCCCTCTAGTAGTTTCTGCCGATCACAGCGTGATGTCTACAAGCGTTGTTATCAGCAGCAGGTTTCGTAGACTGCAGACAGTCCATGCTGCGTCGTGCTGCTGCTGTGTTGTGGTGATACGAAGGAGCTGCAGCGATAGGAAGCAGTTCGAGCAGCTTGTTGCTTCGAAGGTGACAGAGATTTCCTCAAGCTGCAACGATGGTCGTTCAACAGCCGTGCGGTTTCCTGCTTCCGCCAATCATGGCTCAGCCGTGGATCGAGCTCGACGATATGATCCTCGAAGATACGATGATACCCCTTCCTGAAGCGAACCACTTCCCAGTAAAACCTTCGGCAGAAGACGTCATGATCGCGGTTCCCGTTCTCCAATCCGAAACTGACTCGTGGCTTCTTGAACCAGACCTGTCTCGCCGTCAGTTTTGGCCGTCAGAGTCTGCCATCTGTCAGTTAACCGGCCGTTTGTCGGGCGGTTCGCCAACGGCAAGTCAGACGGACGGAGTTGTCCACGTGGCCGAGGAGCTTCTGAACGGCTGCGGCCTCATTCACGTGCTTCCCGTCAGCTCTCTGCACGGCTGCTCTAAAACCGTCGCGAATCGCGGTTGCTCTAGTCGCGTCGCGAATCGCGGTTGCTCTAGTCGCGTCGCGAATCTCAGCCTCTCTAGTAGCGTCGCGAACCCCAACTGCTCCAGCGTTGCAAGTCCCAGCTGCTCTCTGAAACCGCAGGCAACGTCGGGAGGTTCTGGCGTCCTTCTCCGTCAGTCTGCTGAGTCAACGGCACAAGCGGGACATAACGACGGAGCAGATGAGCATGACAGGTGTGACGACGCAGCTGATGAGAACGACACGTGTGACGGAACGGCTGATGAGCATGACACGTGTGACAACACAGCTGATGAACATGACACATGTGACGGCACAAGTTCTGTCATTGCCGAGTCACCTGAGGAGCAGCAGACACCCGAGACTCTTGAGGCTTTAACCGAGCAGCACGAGCAGCAAAAGGAGGAGGAGCAACAGCAGCAGCACCACCACCACCAACAGCAGAAGCAGCAGCAGCGGCAGCAGCAGTGGTCAGCATCGGTTCCCACAGCGGAATCGCCTCAGAGTTCAGGGAGTGGGAAGCAAGCAATCAGGAGTCCCAGCTGTCCGCTCACCATGAGCCTTCGGAGCCGAGCCAAGGGAGGCTCGGGAGATTCTCCGCCAGATGCTCTGCTGAGCACACCCGTGGCCAGCGATTCAGTTTTAAGCGAGTCAATTCCAAGCAACTCAATCCCACGGAGTTCATTTTCAAGTGATTCCACTCCGAGAAAGAGAATCCGCTCACGTGACATTCCTTTTTCAGGAGCAGCAGTTGAGAAGCGTCCAGTGAGAAGACTGCGGGTCGTTGTATCTGGAGATTCTGCAGATCGACCCAGCACTGATCAGATGAATGTGGAGAAAACGGGTCTTCAGGCAGTGACTGAACCGAGGAAGAGAGGGAGCAGACAGTTGCGGAAAGCAGGAAGCCTGAAGGGGATTAGCCAGGATCTGCTTTCGCCAATCCGCAAGCATCAGATGGATTCGGAGGAAGCGAGTCTCCAGGCTGCTACTGTTACTGAATCGAGGAAGAGAGGGAGCACGCGATCCGGAAGAGCAAGAAGCCTTAAGGAGATTGATGTGGATTTGACTTCGCCAGTTCCCAGACGTCAGTCACTGAATCCGTCAGCATCACGACGGTCTGTCAGGATAAAAAACAGCACGCTGAGATATGCTGAGGACGAGGAGGAAGACGAGGAGGAGGAGCTTCAGGTTGCTGCAGAGGGGGTCAAGAAGGTGGATTCTTATGTCAGCCAGGGGAACCGTCAGGATGCTGCACTGAAGGTTAAGGGGATGAAGGTCGAGCAGGGAATCAAGCAGCAGCAGCCAGATGTTGATGTTCAGCAAGAGGAGCTTCAGGATGCTGCTGTTCATGTCAAGCAGGAGGTGATTCAGGAGGTTGCACTGAAGATCAAGCAGGAGGTTCTACAGGGCGATGTTGCTGGAGAGGCTGCTGCTGCTGCTGCTGCTGCTGCTGCAGGGAAAGAGAACGTTGACCCTGTATCTGCTGAGCAGGTGCTAGGAATGGCGGGAAGAAGAGCCGTGCTGCAGAAGAGGAAACAGTCGTTCAAAAGCGAGGCCAGATCTTGCCAGGGACAGAAACGGCATCTGAAGCCAGAAGCAACCGAGGAGAAATCTGGACAGAACCAGAAGCGGGAGGTGAAAAAGACAAAGAGGGGGTTACCATTGGAGGCAGTGGCTGTGCTGAGGAGGTGGATTGATGAAAACCCACACCGGCTGTTTCTCGATGCGAGCGAGAAGGCTGATCTGACTCTGAAAACCGGGCTGACTAGACTTCAGGTGAGCAGCAGCTTCTGACGTGCGGATTTTGCTGTTTTGCATTTACAGTACACATGGACTGCAGAGATGCTACTTTCGATTCATGTGATTGAAATTATTTCGGTAATATTTCCTTTTTTTTTTTTTTTTTTGCAGGTGGAGAACTGGTTCTGCTATGCGAGGAGAAGGGGCTACATGGCTCGTGCTGGTGACTCTGAGCAATCAGACTCCTTTCCAGCTGAAGAATGACAAGACAGTGGGATGGAATGGGATGGGATGGGATGGGATGGGATGGGATGGGATGGGATGGGATGGGATGGGATGGGATGGGATGGGATGGGATGGGATGGGATGTGAGCATTACTACCACACTACTTTATTGGGGTACAGTACGTGGCTCGCGGTGACAGCAATTGGAGTATTTTCCAGCTGAAGAGTGACAAGACTATGGGATTGGGTGGGCTTTATTACACTACTTTATTCTACTGTCAATAACTGAAGATCATCTTAAAGCGACGGGCAACTTTTGGCAGTGTTGGGTTCAGAAGTTTTTTTTTTGAACCAGGCTTGCCAGCGCGAAAGTGCTGGCTGGCGAAAACCAGGATTTCGTGCGGACACTTTCCATCCGCAGTAACAGTTCGCCAGGGTTCTGGGTTTTGGGTGGCAAATGTGCACCGTCGCTTTAAGAATTCGATAGCTTTCGGAGAACTTCAACTCTTTGAGATGGCTGCCATAGCGAGTCTATACTTGCTTTGGCATTTTTATGTTGTAGAGTGCCGCTGGTACACCACATCCTGCAGTTCACTACACTCGCATCCTCTCTATGAAGAAGCTCCCTGTAACGGATACAGGACGATAGGAGGCAGAAGGGTGTTGGCAAGTCAATGAGAGAATATCGCAGGTAGCTATGACATAATATCACGACTGCACTGTATCACAGCATACCACATGTGGCGGACGCATGGTGCAAGCGACCGAAATCCACCACACCCCACCGTACAGCACCACCAATCCACCGCACAGCACCCCATCACACACCTGTCTATCTTGGCAACCAAGCCCGGATCTGGATCGTGCACGAACAGGAAGGGACCTCCCCCAGAAGCACCTCCCCCAGAAGCACCTCCCCCAGAAGCACCTCCGCCGGTCATGTTTTGCCAGAGGGAGGAGTTGACAGAAGGCATCTGCAATGGGGATATGGATTGGGGAAATTCTAGGTGTAAGCATGCATGAATAGTTTAGCACCTCCTTAGAAGCACCTCCTTAGAAGCACCTCCCTTTGCAGTGCTTCCGTTTAAAAGCCCATCCATGTGCTTGTAACGAACTGTTGGGTGGAGAATTGTGTAACATCTTAGCCAGTAATCATGGGTGATTGAAAAAGGCTCATGCATGTGATTGTAATGAGACTCTTTGCGCAGCTGACCTCATGCCCTTGTGTGACTGTAAAAGGCCGAAAGTGGAGGCCCACTGTTCACCTAGACTGATTGTGAAGTGCATGACACATCTATGTGCTTGTAACAAATACCCAGTGCAAATCCGCATGCAATTGAACTGACCTCGTGCCCTTGTGTGACTGTAAAGGGCGGGAAGTGCAGGCCACTGTTCACGACCGTGTGATTGAACCGGGCGGCCTGGCAGGCGGCGGTTGGCATGTAGTGCAAATGGGGCGAGAGCGTGTCTCCCAGGAACATGAGCATTCGGCGTGGGATCGCGTGTGGTTCGTCGATTAAGTAGCGGATCAACGGCCGAGATGCGAGCAGAGGGAAGGAGCCTGTGAGTGGGGGCACGAGGGGAGGGGGGGGAGGGGCGAGAGATAAGGGGAGGAGGCAAACGAGCAAGAAAGGGAAGCGGGAAGGAGAGGTTAAGGAAAGAGCAGGGAAGGGACTGAGGGAGGGAACGAGGAGCAGGTGGGGAGCGGGTGTGTCTCTTAGAAACATGAGGGAAGTGAGCGAACCAGACTCTAAAGGACTTTGTTATTTCAGTGAATTACTCACCTACTTTGGTTTCTAAGGACAACAACACCTCGAATCTGGTAACCCTGTCATTGTAACACCCAGTAACAACACCCACCAGTGTACACCTCGAATCTGGTAACCCTATCACGCATATCGGCGATCCATCGTCCCCCCCCCCGCCTCTCAAACAGTGCATTGTCTGCAAACACACTCTCCTGGCGGTAGCTGCTTAGTGGAGAGGTGGCAAGTGGAGCAGGAGAAGGGAGGGGGGGGATGGCACGAGAGTGTCTGCATATGCCACAGGGTTGGAAACCCACGGCTTCTCCCCCCGCCGCCTCTCAAACAGCGCATTGTCTGCAAACACACTTTCCTGGCGGTAGCTGGTAGGTTGAGAGAAGGAGGGGGGTTAGTGGGGGATGGATGGGGAAGAAGGTAGGACAGGAGGGGTGTTCGGGGGGCAAGCAGGGTCAGCAATCCATTTCGTCGCTCCCCCCGCCACCTCGCAATCAACGCATTGTCTGCAAACACACTTTCCTGGCGGTAACTGGTTGGTGAGGGTAATGAGGGGAAAGTGGGGAGGGAAGAGGTGGAGGAGTGAGGGCATTGGAGAGCGTTAGAAATCCGTTGCTCCTCTCCCCCCCTCCTCCCCCCCTCCCCCTCTCTCAAACATTGCAATTTGTAAACACTCTCCTGGCGGTAGCAGTTAGATGGAGAGGTCAACTCAAGTCAACTCAACTCATGCCAAGCCAATTCAAGTCAAGAAAAGTCAACGCAAGTCAAAACCAGTCAGAGCCACTCGCTCGAATCGGTGGTCCACCACATGGTCCATGAAGGAGAGACTCAGTCAAGTCAGCACAAGTCAACGCAGGTCAACTCACTCAAATCGGTGGTCAACCACATGGTCCATGAAGGAGAGGGAAGGCGAGACGGAGGAGAGCAGCCAGAGGAGCTCTGGTGGGGGGGAGAGGAAAGAGAGAGGGAGGGTGGGAAGGGGTTGGAGGGAAGATAGAAAGGGGGGAGAGATAATGAGAAACAGGTGAGCAGTCAACCACATGGGGCATGAAGGAGACGCGCGGGGAGACGGAGGAGAGAATCCAGAGGAGCTCTGGTGGGGAGGGAGAAAAGGGGGGAGGGAGGGAAGGGGTGGGGGGGGGGGGTTGGATGGGGTTGGGAGGGGTGACGAGAAATAGGTGAGCATGGAAGCACATGGGGCATGAAGGAGAGGCGAGGCGAGGAGAGACCGCGGAGCGAAGCCAGAGGAGCTCTGGTGGTGGGGGGCGGAAACAAAGGGAACAGAGAGAGGGCGGACGGGGAAGAGGGAGGGGAGCATGGAGGCACATGGGGCATAAAGGAGAGGCGAGGCGAGACGGAGGAGAGAATCCAGAGGTCTGGTTGGGGGGAGGCAAGGGGAACAGCGAGAGGACGGAAGGGGTGCCAAGAATGAAAAGAAGGAAGGGGTATGGAGGGGAGGGGTATGGAGGGAGGGGTATGGAGGGGAGGGGTATGGAGGGGAGGGGTATGGAGGGGAGGGGTATGGGGGGAAGGGGTAGAGGGAGGACGGGAGAAGCGACAAGGAGGAGAGCAAGCAGAGAGTCTCTGTTGTGGAAGAGAGGAGAGAGGAAGGTGAAGCGGAAGAGCGGGGGGTTGAGTTGAGTCAAAAGAACGGGAAGAGAGGAGAATGGGGAAGAGGGGTATGGAAGGGGAGAGGCGACAGGGAGGGGAGGAGTCAGAGGAATTTTGGTGGGGAGAGAAGGGGAGAAGCAAAGGAGGGGAGTGGGAAGCGGGATTGATAAGGTTCCAGAAGTCTGCAGAATGTTACAATCATAAGGCGGCCGTTGAATGGGTATGATATTTGAGACGTCTCAGAAACACTCTTATTTCCCCAGAACCGCTTCAACTTCCCGTTTCTCATTCCCTCTCCATCACTCATCACCGCATAGCACCACTCACCATCCTGTGTCACCAGCGGGAAATCCTCTGCACCCAGCAGCACCAGCCACTGCCATCCATTCGCTCCGCCTCTCCTCTTCCCCTCTCCTACACCCCTCTTCTTCCCCTCCCCCACACCCTTCTCGCCCCTCTTCCTTGCTCCCTTCCCCTCCCCTTTTCTCGTCCCTCGCCCCTCCTTCTCCTCTTGGCCCTCCCTTTCCCCTTCCTCTCCCCATCCCCTTTCATCTTGCTCCTCCCCCTCCGCCTCCCTTTCCCCCTCCGCCTTCCCCTCCGCCTCCCCCATGCGCAGCAGCGTGTGCGCCAGGCGCAGCAGCGCAGCCAGACGCGACCCGCCCTCTACAGTCACAATCTCCGGATCCTCAATCACGCGTATCCGTCCCGTTACAGTCACATGTTCCCCAATGCCGCCCGCCTCTGCCGTCTCCGCTGCCCCGGCTGCTGCCACTGCTGCCGCCAGGACGGGATGGGCGGCGAGTTTTGTCTGTAGCGCGAATGCTGAGTCAGCATCGTCTATGTACACGGCATAGAGGTTTCGAGGATGGTAGGTGGCCAATAGGAGTCTATAAATTCGATCTGTGTCGTTTTTCGAACCTGTGTGGGAAAGAAAGGGGAGCAGAGAGTGAGGGGAGAGTGTGGAGAGTGAGCGAGGAGAGAGGGAGGATAGAGAGGGAGAGTCGGTTTTTGTAACATGTGTGGGAATGAGGGGTTCAAGAGTGCGACTCCGCTGCAATGAAAAGACGGAGGATGTGCGCGCACGTGCGGCATGTGCGCACGTGTGCCTTGCGCACTTGTCGTATGCACGCGGCGCGTGCCACGTGTGAGTACCAGGTTCGAGAAAGGTAAAGGAAGGCACCATATCCGCACGCTGTGCTCGCCGAGGATCGCGAATTTCGTCGGCAACGGGTTACTAGCGCTTGAACCATGCGCTGGTTGCTCGTGTGCGAGCTTCGCCATATCGCTCCGGCAGAGACTGCCCTCGTTCGTCTAGGAATAAAAGTTCACGGATACTCGCTTGTTATATGGCGAACCGAAACACGTTGAAACAATACGCGGAATGCGCATACGAACTAGGAGCGGGATATAACGGAACGAAATATTGACGGGACTACTCTACGCGGTCTAGACGGAAAACAGCCAACGATAGATGACAGCATGAAGAGCTGGGTACGAAACTCCACTTGGCCGACATTGATTTAAAGATGTGGCATGCGGACACGAGCCGAAATAAATAATAACTCACTACGCGTTGAAAGATTCGGTAATTACGGAGGACTTCTGATAGCGAAACAAATAGGTGGTGGTGGGTTGAACTAATTTCTGTGCAGAGTTTGTTCTAGCGACGAGTGATAATGATTTGAAATAATCTATGGGTGATTACTAGGGTAGGGTGAGGGGCTTGATTATCGAGCCGCCCTGCTATAGTTGTGATAGAAACGATATCACCTCGCGCCTTGACTCGGTTGACTAAAGCGAGAACTTTGCTTCGGCCCAAGTCGTCCAAGGTCGTTCTGCCCAGCTGGACCTAGTCGAGGGAGTTTTGTCCAGCCTCAAACCAATAAGAGCATTCAAAGTTGGTTCGGCTCGACCAGTGATTGGTGTTGAAGTTTGTGCGTGTCACAAGCAAACCTGCCACGCGAACCTCGTTTGGCGGCTTGACGCTGCGCTTCGATTCCAAGTGTGCACGAGATTAGAACGAGAATCATTAGTTCAAGATAGAATGAACCATCTAACGTATAGCTGAGTTGAGCGTACCAGGAAAAAGTGTATGCTAGCTGGATATTGGTTTCATAGAATATGTTGCTGTCGAGTACACTTTCCCAAACGTCAGCAATCCGACACCTCTTTCGAAAAGGGCTTTTGCCAAACTGCCGTGAACTGTCGTTGCCAAGCGACACCAGCTTGTAACGCAGAAAACCTCACTGAACCGTACTGTAGGAGCTACCTGGGCTGACGTACCCTGGCGGGTTCACAATCAGCAATCGCGGCTCCAGACCGCCATCTACCGCTCTTAAACGCGCTTTCACGCAGCATATCGCACTAAACGCCTCACAATATTGACGACGCCGATTGGGGACAGTACCTGTCAGCAGATGGACATATTTGTTCCACTCGTATCCAGCTTTCACGGCCAATTAGAGACCGTCGCTCACCAAGTATCCGCCGTCCATAGGCCAACCATCCGCCGTCCGTAGCGCCGCGCGCCGCGCTGTTGATGGCGGAATGTCGCTACGCGCCGCGTTTCGTGGATTTCGATGGGGGGGTTACCGTTCCACACAGGCCTGGGAATGAAATTCGCGAAATCGCTGCTTCAGGAGCGCGGTCCGGGAGGGGGAGCGATTCCCGGTTTTACGTGTTCAATATATGTTTCGTCCTCTTCCCGGTTTTTCTATCTTACCTACTGCACGGAAAATCGTATCCTCCAGACGCTCGACTTTATCAGTAGTACCAGCGGTTCCTTCATTTATTTTCCGCGCCCACTGTTATTCCTAGCGCGTACTTGTTGTAGTAGTGCTATAACGCGTACATACTCTTTCTCGTTCTTAAGTTTTTATTATTGTTAAGCGACGCAGCCATGGCTACGGTTCGGCCGGTGGGTCTGCCTCCTGGGCGGGCCACGGGAGGGACTACTTCCGTGTGGCGTTTCCTCCTCGTTGACTTTTGAGTCGACTCAAAACCCGCCCTGCCCCAAATTCTGTGCTACCTCAAAAGTCAACTCTCTACTTCCGTGTGGCGTTTCCTCCTCGTTGACTTTTGAGTCGACTCAAAACCCGCCCTGCCCCAAATTCTGTGCTACCTCAAAAGTCAACTCTCTACTTCCGTGTGGCGTTTCCTCCTCGTTGACTTTTGAGTCGACTCAAAACCCGCCCTGCCCCAAATTCTGTGCTACCTCAAAAGTCAACTCTCTACTTCCGTGTGGCGTTTCCTCCTCGTTCTCCCGGTCGTTTCTCTCGTCTCGCTCGCTTCGCTCGTTGCGCCCGTCGACTCTAAGAAGATCTTCAGTCCCCGTGAGCTACTCTTTCAGGATACGTGCCGGCTCTGAATACTGTGTGCTATAACGCGTACAACACAGTATTTCCCATCCAAAGTTTCCTCCTGGTGTGGCGCTTCTTCCGCGTTCTCTCCCTTGTCGCTCTCCTCTCGCTCCTCTCGCTCCTCTCGCTCGTGTCGCCCGTCCATTCCAAGAAGATCTTCAGCCCCCGTGAGTTACGCTGCTCTCTCCCTCCTCGTTCTCTCCCTCCTCGTTCATGGAATGGAATGAAGGGTTCATATTTAGCGGTTTATAAAACTGCTGCTCGTTCAGTCTCCATGGCGGCTGGTGGTGTTTCCTCATAGTTCGCCTCTCTCTCTCCTCTCATTGAATGTGATGTGATAGTGTGTGTGTGGGGCGAACGGGCATATGTACCCGTGCAGGGAGATGGCTCCTCCTTACTCTCTCTCCCATCTTCCCCTCCCTTTTCCCCTTCGTCCTCTCTCCCTTCTCTTCCCCAGCCCTGCCCCGGCGTGAGATGAGTCGATTTTTGAGTCGACTCAAAAATTCTCTCTCCCTTCTCTTCCCCAGCCCTGCCCCGGCCCCAAACTACTTTTGAGGCGCCTCAAAACCCGCCCTGCCCCAAATTCTGTGCTACCTCAATGTGATAGTGTGTGGGACGAACGGCCAGATGTACCCGTGCAGGGAGATGGCTCCTCCTTACTCTCTCTCCCATCTTCCCACCACACCCTTCCCTGCCCCCACCAGCACCTGCACAGCCCGTAATCCTGTGCTCTTTGAACGTCATAGTGTGCGGTGCCAATGGTCAGATGTACCCGTGCAGGGAGATGGCGCCCAAGGGAATGGATACCACCACCGACCTCTCCAAATGTCGGCCTCCTGGCGGTGAGTTGAACATATAGCCCTCCCTGGGTGTTGAGTGCGGTGGTGTGCGGTGCCAACGGCCAGATGTACCCGTGTAAAGAAATGGCGCCCAAGGGAATGGCTACCACCACCGACCTCTCCAAATGCCGCCCTCCTGGGGGTAAGCAAGTGTTGAGTGCGGTGCCAATGGGTGGTGGTGTGCGTGCGGTGCCAGTGGGTGGTGGTGTGCGGTGCCAGTGGGTGGGTGCCAGCGGCCAGAAGTACCCGTGCAGGGAGATGGCGCCCAAGGGAATGGCAACTTCTGCCGACCTCACCAAGTGTCACCCTCCTGGAGGTATGTAAGCGTTGAGTGCGGTGCCAGTGGGTGCTGGGTGTGCGGTGCCAATGGGTGGGGCGAACGGCCAGATGTACCCGTGCAGGGAGATGGGCGGGCGCCCAAGGGGGTCGCCACCACCACCGACCTCTCCAAATGTCGCCCCCCTGGTGGTGAGTTGAACACGGTGGCGTGCGGTGCCATTGGGTGGGTACGTGCTGGTGTGCGGTGACAGTGGGTGATAGTGTGCGGGGCGAACGGCCAGATGTACCCGTGCAGGGAGATGGGCGCCCAAGGGGGTCGCCACCACCACCGACCTTACCAAGTGCGGGCCACCAGGCGGTGAGTTGAATGGGCGGTGTTGTGTGGTGCCAATGGGTGATAGTGTGTGGGGGGTGTTGCCACCACCACCAACCTCACCAATTGCCGCTCACCAGGAGGCGAGTTGAACCTCAGAAAAAAACTGAGACTCGCAAATCACAGATTCTTGGACTCCGAACTCTTAAGCGCCAAAGTTTTAAACCCCTCTCAACCCCGAAGGCATACTCCCTTCCCCCCTTTCACCTCTTTCACCTTCCCTCCACCCCTCCCTTCCCCTCCTTCCCTCCCACCCCTCCCCTCCCTCGCCCGCGTTTACTCAGATGTGATCGTGACGCCTTCTGAAGCTCAGTGCCCCGTTAAAGCCCCCAAGGTGCGTGCTTATAACGGAGCCCTTGTGGGCCTGTTCTTATAACGAAACTGTGGTTATAACAAATCATGGTTTTCTGTGCGTAAAACATGGTGAGGGGTGGGAGAGGCAGGGTAATGGTATTTAGATGGGGAAAAAGGGGGGTTGTGACTGTTAGTGGTTGGGTGTCGACTAAAGACTGTTCTCTTACAGGTGTGTGCTAGTGACGGGAGGAATTACCCCTGTGCTGACGTGGCACCCAAGGGGCTGCTGACGACGACAGACCTATCTGCTTGCCAGACACGTAAGCAGTTCCTCCTTGCTGCACCAATTGCTACTTGCCACGTGGAAATGCGAGAATGCCACGTGGCACCAATCACTCCTTTTCACACTTAAACCTCAAGGCAATTACTCTTTTTTTTTTCCCTTTTTCTTCTCGGACTTACATCTCCCTACTACGACTTTCATGTTCCTATCTCCACCCCCAATCCACAGCTGCCACGTGTCCCTGGTCCACGTCAGCATACAGCAAATCCAGCCTGGCAGCGTTGGCCAACGAATGCAGCACCCTCGCTCTCTCATCCTCTTCCTCCTCCACACCTCTTCCCATTACCCCTTCTCTGATTGGCTGCTGTGCTGCCACGTCAGCACTCCTCCAATCCACCGCGATTGCGACCGCAAAGGCTAAATCTTCGAGGGTAAATACCCCTGCGGTTTACGCCGCCCGTGCCGGGCAGTGCATGAAAGAGTTTGTACCCTATTTACAATCACCCAAGGCGGCATTTGCAGCAGCTACAGCAGCAGCAGCGGCGGCACTTTCGAAGTTCAATCCGGTGCTACAGTGCGGGCGGCTGGGGTTCGGGGCGGCACAATTTGGACTGGAGGGAGGCAAAGGGGCATGCCGAGGGATTACCACTGAGGCCCAGGTGAGAGGGAGCGAGGGAAGAGGGAAGAGGGAGGGGGAGCGAGGAGTGAGAGAGGGGGGAGAAGAAGGTGAGAGGAAGGAGCGATTATTTTTTTGGCTGCAACTGAGTCATTTCGGTTCTACTCATCGGAGGAAATCAAATTGCGCTGAGCTTCATTCAATCCCTCCTTCTCCCCCTTCCCCTCTTCCCCACTCCTTTCCCTTCCCCAATTTCCCCCTTCTTCCCCTCTTTCTCCCCACTTGGCTGTCCCTTTTAACCTCTTACGACTCCCCGTTTCCCCCGCTCTTCCCTCCCTTCGTCCCGACCAGCTCACATCCGCGTTAAAAGCTTCCCCAGTATGGTGGGTGAGCAGTTACATGCAGAGAGACTGCAGCAGCACCACCGGCAGCACTGGCCGCTGCTCGGACTGTGCCAAGCAGGTCTCCACCCTCTTTGGTGAGTCTGCTGGTGCGTGTGAGCCTTGTGGGGGCCTCTCTGGTGCCATCTGTTCTGTGCTCGTGCGTCTCTCAAACAGCAGCACCACCGGCAGCACTGGCCGCTGCTCGGACTGCGCCAAGCAGGTCTCCACCCTCTTTGGTGAGTGAGTTGGAAGAGGGGGGGGGGCCTGTGTGTGCTTGTGAGTGCATGTGTGAATAAATAGAAGAGAGACTGCAGCAGCACCACTGGCCGTTGCTTGGACTGTGCCAAGCAGGAGTCCACGCTCTTTGGTGAGTTGTCTGTGTGTGTGTGTGAGCCTTGTGGGGACCGTTCTGGTGCCTTCTGTGCTGGTGGGCCACTCAAACAGCAGCACCGCTGGCAGCACTGGCCACTGCTCAGACTGCGCCAAGCAAGTTGCCACCCTCTTTGGTGAGTCCTCTGGGGGGTGCTCTGTGTGTGCTTGTGAGAGCGTGTCTTTACTGATCTCCTTCCCCCCTCTTCCCCCATCCCACACGCATGTTGTTGACAGATGCCCTTATCCGACCCGGAGACACCACTTCTCAGAAGCAGCGCTGCTGGGCTTTAATCGCCTACTATGCGGCGTCTGCACTCGGCAACTCCACCGCCCAGAGCAGCAGCATCGCCCTCTGCCTGCATAAGAACGCTCCTTCCTCCCTCCTGCCTTCTGGGACCACTATCAAGGCAGCTACTGTCAAGCCTGCAGCGACTACTAAACCTCCTAGTCCGCCAGCTGTCAAGCCTACTATTAAGATTGCTGTCGATGCTTCCGATCCGCAGCAAATCGAAAACACCTTTCGCGCTGCGGCCGACACGTCACCAGATGCCAGCTCAGCGCCGTCCACGTCAGCACGGTCCACGTCAGCAACCGCAATCATCCTCGCCAGCGTGGCGCTGGCGGTCCTGCTGGCAGCAGTCGTGGCAGCAACCATCCTAGCTGTCAGGGGCGCACAGCACCACATGCACAGGCAGCGGCTCGCCTCCTCTATTTCGGTCTACCCCAGCGGCTCTGTCTCTGCGGCTTTAAGTGCCGGCACGCCTCTTAAAGCCTCGGTGTCAGAATCGGGGGCCTGGGGAGGATCGTCAGGAGTGAGTGAGGGAGGAGTGTCGAGGGAGGGGTCTGTGTCGTCGTTGGTTGGGTTGATTGGGGGTGCTGCAAGTGATGTGTCCGACGCTCCAGCAGCGGCAGTGCCGGTAGCATTGAAAGCAGCAGCACCAGCAGCATCACCATCACCAGCAGCAGCGGCAGCAGCAGCGTCGGGGAAGGACGTGTTTGCGTCGCGATTCGTTATGGATGCAGCAGCTGCTGCCGCACCAGCACTGGCAGCAGCAGCAGCAGCAACAGCAGGAGGTGCAACAGCAGCAACAAAACCAGCAGCAGCAACAACTACAGCAGCGGTGGCGCCAGCAGTGGCGGCAGCCGCAGCAGCGCGTAAGCCTGTTCTCCCACGCCTGGCAAGCGCACTCTCTACCGGCTCATTCGCCAGCAGCATTCACTCCCCCGTGCGCCGTCGTGCACCCGTGCTTGCTCCTGCTGCTCCTGCTTCCACCCCTGTAAAGCTGGCGGCGCCAAAGGCAGGAGAGAAGTAGCAGTGCGAGAAGGTGGCCGCACGCTCGGTAGTGGTGCATTCGCTGGTAACATCGCAGTGCAGTGTCAAAGATAGCGAGGGCGTAAAGGGGATGGTGCGACCTTTACATGGCAGGTGAGGCTGACTGACTTCTGTGGCGCCTCAAAAGACGCAGTGCAGTGTCACAGACAGCAAGAGCATGACGGGATGGTGTGATGCGGCCTCACATGGAAGGTGGGATGAAGAGTGGAACAGGCTGGTAGGGCCGATAAGAGCGATAGTGAAAGGGGATGAGGTAGTGGGGGTGGATGCGGCAGTGAGGGGGGTTGGAGCAGCAGTGGAGGAGACTCAGGCTGAATTACGGAGCATTGGGGGATGGGGGATGGTGTGAATGATTCGTATCATTGTGTCGAGGAGTGCAGTAAGTTATTTAGTTACCTAGTTTCTTTTCCAGATTTCTAGGTTCTTTACCAGGATGCAATCTTTGCTGTGCAGTACAGGATAGAAAGTGAATAAGAGTGCAAGGCTCTGTTAGTGAGATAGACTAGGTCTGTAGATGTTGTATGAAGCCTTGGCACTGCTCGTACTAGATGATATGTTAGCGAAACTGCTTGTGCCTTTTATGCTTGTGATGATGTGTTTTCTGGAGCCAGTTGTGCTACTTCGCAGAAAATCTACCTTCTAAGCATTGCAGTATCTTTGTTGCTTCTACACCTATGCCTAATAAATGTATTTCTCCCTATCATGTGAAGGTAGATGAAATCGAGGCTTTCTGCCTGGCGAACAACACACAACGCTAAGCATCACATCACAAGACAGCTTTGTACTAAGCGCATCACACCACCACTCCTCCGCCTGCTTATCACTTATGTGCCACTTCAAATGAGAGTCGCGAAAGAAAACGAAGAATCTGTGTGTGCGTCGGCTCATCACTTCTTCCCCGCCACGCACCACGATTGCTACGAGATGGTAGCAGCAGGAGGACACGGAGGCGTCCGTAGCAGGACTATCAGAGCGTGTGTTACTGAGAGATCTCGTTCCTAGTACCGATGGGAGATAACCGCATGATTGAGAGACTTGAATTCGCGAGCATTTCGTGCTGCAAGGGCGCCCGTGCAACCCGGAAAAGCCACGACGCCGCGATTCGTAAAGCTGTAACGCCGCGCACCAAAACGGCGTGATAGTAGAGTTGGCCAAACGTGTCAGCACCAGATTGCGGAGTGGGGTTGGTAGTTGCTGACGCGACTCCTGCTCCTGTTTAGGGGAACGAAATTGCACGGCAATTCGCAGTAAGAATGGCGATATTGCAGTGGCGAGGGTACGGGAACGAACGACACTCGGAAGGAGCTTGTTTTCCTGCGACGAAGTCGCATAATGTACACGATCTTCTGGTCAGGGTTAAGCCTTGGTTGTGTTCTAACCACAAATACGCGGCACTCGACATTACAGCTTACATGTTCGACGATTCGTACTCCAGCGAGTCGCGCTCACTCTCATATGGTCCGCATTTTTCGCCGCGTTTTCCGCCGCACTTGACGCCGTCAGCGGGCGACGCGGTGAAGACCAGCGCGAGAATCAGCAGCGCTGGCGCAATTGGTGTGATGAGCGCAAGCACGAGGAGCGCGACCGGGAGGTGGCGCAACGAGAAGCGCGTGCATATCGATATCGCCATCAGTTAGGCGATGCAAGTGGTAGCAGCAATTTAGACGCCGTTCGACTCGTGCTTTTGAGACGTAAATGCTGCTGAGAAATTTCGGTGGAGGAGGGAAGGTTCAGCTCTAATACCAGTAAATATGAGCCGTATTGTGGAAAGGTAATTTGCGTATCACTGTGAACTACGCAATGAATGACTTACGGCATAATATGTTTCATACGGTTGAAAAGGCTAACGAGGGCTCATATTAGATGAAAGATATGAGCAGGAGCATGAGAAGAGAGGAGGGGCTGAGCAGGAGCAGGACATTACGCGCTCGGGAGCAAAAAGGAATTGAAGCACACACGGGAAACAGCAAGATATAGCTTTTATTGTTGTCGAGGAAGTGACACTACAAATGTGCGCAGCCATGGGACAGAGTCTGGTGTGGGAGCTCCGAGCATGACCAGCGCAGCCTCTTTGCGAGCAATCGTGGATGGAATGTCGTGCGAAGGGGAAGAGAAGAAGAAAATCAAATGTCCCACGCGCCATTTGAAATTCGAGAAATTTCTGTGCCGACACGGCATGCTGGGGGATGTTGTCTCGGACAGCGCTGCGTCGCTATTGGCCACGCTAGTTGCGGCCATGTGGGAATATTGGCCCTGTTCTGTTGGCGCATAAGGGGTGCTCAGCCCTAACGCTGAATATTCTCGGAATGCGCATAACAAGGCTTAAAGCCCACGTCGAGCCTCCCAAATCGTTATTGTCTCCCGAACCTCTGGTGCGGGAGCTGTGCGCGCATTACTCATGCGTGCGCAAGAACGCATAACTCTCTGTGCGCTGAGAAGATTCCACGAGCTTGGTTTCACTGGCAATTTTCCCGCATGGCCTGTGCGAGCCCTATGCGCTCGTCGAGGGGGGAATGAAGAGACGCACAACAAATAACGGGTAGATACAAACGCCCGTTTTGGGGTATTGTTTTGGTGGAATACTCACCCTAAAAAGAATCCAACGGCTAACCAGTAAGACTGCCACATCCAGTGCATCAGTTCGCGAAATTTTGACTTTTGAAGAGTGCTAGGGCAGTGTGTAACAACATTTTTCGGGCACGCGGGAGAAAAAAGTTCGTACTTTTGTCGATTAGTAAACCCTTCGACGAGGCTTCAGGCCCTCCCTTCCTTTCGAGGAAAACGCTGTCCGCAGTACCTGTACGGCAACTGCGAATGGCCTGTGCGCCAACAGAACAGGGCCATTTCTCACCATCTTCCCGCCCCCGAATTGGTGTCCTTCCTGGGAGTTGCTTTCGCCCTTGTTCGCATTAAAAGAAGCCCCAGTTCCATCGCTCAAGAAATTAAACATATAAGCCTACCAAAATGGTTACTGCTATTTCACATTCATTAACCATTGGATTTCAGACCCTAGTTTGTTCAGGGTTGTTTAGGAATTATGTGAACACGTAGTTAAACACATATGGGAACTATTCCGCATCGTTGTAGCAATATGAAAATAACACCAATTTACTACAAAACGAACACCTAATTGCATTGTAGCGCTTTCCTGGTAAAATAAATTTGAATCGAATGGGTTGGACAGGAAGTCTGCAGAAGTTTGTTGCAAAAGTTTGTTATGGTATGTTAACAAAGATTCATCTACACAACTTCCTAAATTTGGAAGTGCGCAGTTCCGCAGGCAAGCCACAAAAAATCTTCCTCCATACAAGCACAACCCGGAACCTAGGCTGCCCCCTCCACTCCACCATGTTCCCATAAGGAGGCACAGCGCCGTCGAATGTGATTATATGGAACGGGGCGAGGAAGGGTAGCGTGTAGGGCTTGAGAGCGAGAGGCGTGGCGTATGAGAGGGGGAGGCGGTGGGCTGGAGGGGAGGTGTACCAGGAAGAGTACGCGGCGTTTAGGAAATGGGTTACAGAGTCGGTCGGAAAGAGAGGCAATGATAGACGAGTCATGAAGGCCTGCGATGGTGATGGGGTGAAGGGGATAGGGGGAAAAGGAAGGGGAATATGAACCAGGAAGAGTACGCGGCGTTGAGGAAAGGATTTGCGGAGTCGGTCGGAAAGAGAGGCGATGATAGACGAGTCATGAAGGCCTGTGGTGGGCAAGGGGTGAAGGGGATGGGGAGAAGGAAGGGGAAAGGAAGGAAGAAAGAACGAAACAATGAGACAGGGAGAAGTTTCGGAGCGAGCAGGAGCGTGGCGGTGGAGAAACGGTCCGGGGAAGGGAGAGAGGGGAGAGGGCTGCGGACCTGATAGAGGCTCTCTGAGGGAGCGAGGAGGAGAGTGGCGGTGGAGAAACGGTCCGGGGAAGGGAGAGAGGGGCGCGGAGCATGAAACCGTGACAACGTACTTGGCAATGAGGGATTTAGAATAGACGCACCTGATAGAGGTTCTCTGAGGGAGCGAGGAGGAGCGTGGCGGTGGAGAAACGGTCAGGCGGCAGGGAGAGAGGGGCGGCGGCAAATGGGCGATGGTGAGAGAAGAGTTGCAGGCAGGATCGCCAGAAGAGGGAGAGGGGATGCACGTAGGCGATGAGTGGAATGTCGGTCTGTGGATATTGAGGGGGGGGGGGGGGGGGGACGGGAGGGAGACAGGGGGGTTGGGAGGTGAGCAGAAACGAAGGGGCGGTGGTGGGAGAAGAGTTGCAGGCAGGAGCGCCAGAAGAGGGAGAGGGGATGAACGTAGGCAATGATTGGGATGTCGACCTGTTGGTTGGGGTTGGAGCAGAGGGATAAGGGAGCCAGGGGAAAGGGTGGCAGGGAGAGAAGGGGTAGGGAGAGAAGGATAACAGTGAAGGGGCGGTGGTGGGAGCTGAAGGCAGGATCGCCAGAAGAGGGAGAGGGGATGCACGTAGGCAATGAGAGGTATGTCGACCTGTGGGAGAAGGGGGACAGAGGAGAGAAGGACAGAAGTGAAGGGGCGGTGGTGGGAGATGAGGTGGCGGCAGGAGCGCCAGAAGACGGAAAGGAGATGCACGTAGACAATGAGTGGGATGTCGACCTGTTGGTTGGGGGACGGAAGGAGACAGGGAGAAATGGGGCAGTGGAGAGGGCGCGATCGCCAGAAGAGGGAGAGAGGATGCACGTAGGCAATGAGTGGAATGTTGGTCTGATGGGTGGGGTGGGAAAGGGTGCAAGGGAGACAGGGGGATTCGGTGGGAGATGAGCAGAGGTGGAGGCAGGAGCGCCAGACGAGGGAGAGGGGATGCACGTAGGCAATGAGAGGTATGTCGACCTGTAGGGAGAAGGGGGACAGAGGAGAGAAGGACAGAAGTGAAGGGGCGGTGGTGGGAGATGAGGTGGCGGCAGGAGCGCCAGAAGAGGGAGAGTGGATGCACGTAGGCAATGAGTGGGATGTCGACCTGTTGGTTGGGGGACGGAAGGAGACAGGGAGAAATGGGGCAGGCAGGAAACGGGCAGGCAGGGGGAAAGTGTACAGGGACAGGGGGGCAGCAGTGAAGGGGCGGTGGTGGGAGATGAGGTGGCGGCAGGAGCGCCAGAAGAGGGAGAGAGGATGAACGTAGACAATGAGTGGGACGTCGACCTGTTGGTTGGAGAGAAAAGGGGTAAGGGAAAAAGAGGTCAGGAAGAGAAGGGGCAGGGGGAGAGGGACTGCAAAAGGTTTGAGAATTCTCTAATTCAAAACGACGACGACGACGACGACGACGACGACGACGACGACGACGACGACAACAACAACAACAACAACAACAACAACAACAACAACAACAACAACAACAACAACAAGGGCGGTGGGAGCAGAGGCTTGAAGAGTAGCGTTATTATGTCTGCTAGTCCCTGTTGCCTTTTTTTGAGTCGACTCAAAAACAGGCTCGAAGAGTAGCGCTATCATGTCTGCTATTCCCTGTTGCCTTTTCTGTGGCCATCGCTCCACCCCCCTCCTGCCACGCCCTCCCCGATCCCCAACAACAAGGGCGGTGGGAGCAGATGCTTGCAGAGTAGCGCTATCAGGTCTGCTATCCCCTGTTGCCTTTGTGCGTTGAGACGGTTTTTGAGGCGCCTCAAAAATTGGGAGCAGAGGCTTGAAGAGTAGCGCTATCATGTCTGCTATCCCCTGTTGCCTTTTTTTGAGTCGACTCAAAAACAGGCTTGCAGAGTAGTGCTATCATGTCTGCTAGTCCCTGTTGCCTCTCCTGTGGCCATCGCTCCACCCCCCTGCTGCCACGCCCTCCCCTATCCCTACAGCTTCCACCACACTTGGATCTGATTTGACTCTCATTTGTTTCCACAACCCCACCCCACCCCACCCAACCACTGCAATACACCCACCCCCCTGCTGCCCATCCCACCTGCCTGCCTGCCTCCCCACCTGCCACAATAACTGAACCCACCTGCTGCTATACACCTGCCCACTGCCCATACCGGGCTTTAATATTGAACCCACCTGCTGCCACAGCCTGAGAATCAGAAAGTCGGGCGGCAGAGGTTGGGCGGCACGAGCTGGCGGGCGGCGCGCAGAGACGGGGTCGACCACTCTCACGGACGAGAAGAGAGACTGTGGGGGGTGGTGAAAGGGAGGGGGGAAAGGGGTGGGATTGTGAGGTTCAGGAGGTGGGAGCAGGAGAGAGTGGAGGGAGTGGATGGGCGATGAACAGAGACGGGGTCGACCACTCTCATACACATTGAGGGTGGAGATTGGGGTGAGCGTATGTTCAGACATTCCAGCGAGCACCAGGAATGTCTGAACATACGGTTGTAAAGTGTGTAGGAGAGGGTGGAGATTGGGGTGAGAGTGGAGGGAGTGGATGGGCTGTGTGGCGCTCAGAGACGGGGTCGACCACTCGCATGGACCAGACGAGAGACTGCGGGGTGTGACAGGGATACGGGAGGGGGGAGTGTGCAGGAGAGGGTAGAGAATGGTGGGATGAGAGAGTAGAAATTGGGGTGAGAGTGGAGGAAGTGGATGGGTGGCGCACAGAGACGGGCCCGACCACTCTCACGGACCAGAAGAGAGACTGCGGGGTGTGACAGGGATACGGGAGGGGGGAGTGTGCCGGAGAGGGTAGAGAATGGTGGGATGAGAGAGTGGAGGGAGTGGATGGGCGGGCGGCGCACAGAGACGGGGTCGACCACTCTCACAGACCAGAAGAGGGACTGCGTGGGTTGAAAATGAGGGGAGGGGGAGGGGGGAGTGTGTAGGAGAGGGTAGAAATTGGGGTGAGAGTGGAGGGAGTGGATGGGCTGTGTGGCGCACAGAGACAGCGAGCTAGCGAGGTGAGCGGAGAGTGAGCAACACGCCAAGAAGAAGAGAGGAGGTGAGGGGAGAGTGAGCTAGCGAGCAGGCAGCGCACAGAGACAGGGTCGACCGCACGCACCGACCAGAAGAGGGACTGTGTGATAGGGGGAGGGGGGAGTTGTAAAGTGTGTAGGAGACAGTAGAGATTGGGGTGAGAGTGGAGGGAGTGGATGGGCAGCGCACAGAGACGGGGTCGACCGCACGCACCGGCCAGAAGAGGGACTGTGGGGGTGGTGAAAGGGAGAGGACGTGTGGGAGCGTGGGTTGGGTTGAGGATGCTGAGGATGCCTTCGTTCGGGGTGCTGGGAAATGCATTTCAGTCTCAAAAGCGGATGAAAGACCACTCTCACAGACCAGAAGAGGGACTGTGGGGGGTGATGACAGGGAGAGGAGGTGTGGGAGCGTGGGGTGGGGTGAGGATGCTGAGGATGCCTTTGGGGTGCTGGAATATTTTGAGGCGCCTCAAAATACACCTCACTACTGCTGAGGATGTCTTTGGGGTGCTGGATTGGAATGCATTTCAGTCTCAAAAGCCGATGAACCGATGATGAAACTGAAAAGGCGTTTCTAGCCTCATCACACACAGCATCACTCTAAGAATAGATTGCCTCCATTTTACGTCTTTTGGGAATTCTCAAAAGTCTCAATGTTGTAGTTTTGAGACGTCTCAAAACTAGACGTCTCAAAACTAGACGTCTCAAAACTAGACGTCTCAAAACTAGACGTCTCAGAACTAGACGTCTCAAAACTAGACGTCTCAAAACTAGACGTCTCAAAACTAGACGTCTCAGAACTAGACGTCTCAAAACTAGACGTCATGAAACTAGACGTCTTGAAACTAGACGTCTCAAAACTACACTTCTATCACGTGGTCTCATCGAAGCTTCAGTCAAAGAAAAATTAGCCTCTGTTTTACTCACCTCAAAGTGGTAAGGCGCCCATTTCTCCTTGGCCACTGTAGAAGACCAGCAGCAGCTGAGGATGATTGAACTAATTAGCAGCTGATCCGTTTTATAATTACTGCTTTTATATTACTCACCTCAAAGTCGTAAGGCGCCCATTTCTCCTTGGCCACTCTAGACGACACCAGCAGCAGCGTACGGCGACACTTGTCCTTATCCACACCGGCCCGGCCGCCCTTCATCACCCTCCTCTCTCCCATCCCCTCCCCCCCCTTCCCCTCCTCCCGTCCTCCCATTCCCCCTCCTCCTCCTCCCCCTCCTCCTCCACCTCCCTTCTTGCTTCTCTCCTCCCGCCCCCTCCCCCATCCATGCCTCTTTTTCTGCTTGCCATGCTTCCCTGTAGACCCATCTCTAGATAACGTTGAAGCACCGATGCCAGAGCTAACAATGCCACCACCGGTGCTGTTTGTCTCATCTGGCCGCCCGCAATGATGGCGGCGGAAGGATCGGATCCACACAGCCACGGGGATGATGTCAGCCGCTGACGTCAGCACTGTAGCAAACACTCCTTCCTCTACCTGCCTCTGCCTTTCCTGCTCCTGCTGCTCGTGTTTCTGGGAAGTTTCCTCAGCAGTGAAACCAGCCAATCCGGTGACAGAGACTAACCCTGCTGTCGATCTCTTCCCTTTGTAACCGTTCTCAACCGCTCTTGATCGCGCTCCTGACGCTCCTCCTGCTCCTGCTGCCGCTGCTGCTGCTGCTCCCAAAGCATCACCGCTCTTGCTTACAGAACCGGATGAGGAGGAGGAAGAGGAGGAGGAGAAGGAGGACTCGAGAGGGTCGAAGAATGAGTCGAGAGCAGAGGTGGAAGCCAGGGATCGCGAGCTGCCTGCTCTCCCTGCCTTGGCCTCCCCACCTGCTGCTGCTGCTGTTGATGATTCACTGCTTTCCTTTACAGATGAAGAGGAGGAAGAGGAGAGGGAGGACTCGAGAGGGTCGAAGAAGGAGTCGAGAGCCGAGGTGGACGCGAGGGATCTGGAGCTGCCTGTTCTCCTTGCCTTGGCCTCAGCACCTGATTCACTGCTGTCTTTCACAGATGAAGAGGAGGAGGAGAGCGAGGAAGAGGAGGAGAGGGAGGATTCGAGAGGGTCGAAGAAGGAATCGAGGGCAGAGGTGGACGTGAGGGACCTAGAGGTGCCTGCTTGCGACTTGGCATGCCCACCACCACGGCTGCTGTGCTTGGCATGCCCACCACCACGGCTGTGCTTGGCACGGTTATGGTTACGGTTACCATGTAACCTCTGCTGCTCGTACTCTTTCCGCTGCTGCTGCAACCGGTTCTGCTGCTTCTCCTGCTCGTTTCCATGCTGCTGATGCTGGGAGTGCAATAGCGTTGGTGGGTCCTTGGGCATATCAGCAGAGGAGAGTAGCAGGGAGGGGGGGAGGGAGAACGGGGACCAGAGCCAGGGGGGGAGGTGAGGGGAAGGGCAAGGGGAAGCGGAGGAGGAGGAAAGAGAAGAGGTGGAGGTGGTGGAGGAGGAAGAGGAAGAGGGAAGGGAGGAGGAGGAGGAGGAAGAGGAGGAGGCGGGGGGTGCAAGGAGGGCTATATCAAGATGAAGCTGGGGGATGAGCCCTACCCAGGGCAGCTGGGCCACGCCTGCCCAGGAGCACACTGGGGAGGCGAGGAGGGGAGACGGGGAGGGAGGGGATGGTGAGGGAGGAGAAGTCGAAGAGGGAGTGGGGGAAGGAGGCGGAGGGGTGGAAGAGGGAGGGATCAGCAAGGTTGGAGTGTTTGAGGTGTTAAGAGGAGCGGAGGAAGAGGAGGAGGAGGAGAGAGGAGGCGAGGTGGGAAACGGAGAGGAGGAAAGGAGAGAAGGTGGTAGTACGGAAGGGAGTGTTGTGGCGCTCCCGTTGCCTACCTGCTGCTTTCCCAAATTCACTGCTGCCTCTTTTCCCAACCTCACTGCCCGCACCTTCTCTACTTCTGCCCTCTCTTTCCCCAACCTCACTGCTACCTTCTCTCCTAGCTCCTCTGCCCCCTCCTTCCCTATCTCCCCAGCTCCTTCCTTCCCCCCCTCCACTGCTCCCCCTTTCCCTGCTCCCCCCTTCTCTAGCTTCAAAGCCCCCCCCGTCTGACTTAGGTTCATTGATCCTCCGCTTCCTGGACTTCCAGCTCCTGCTTGAGACAAGGGCGGCTGCAAACTTGATGACTGTTGAGCCGACTCAAAAGTCTTCTCTAGCTTCAAAGGCCCCCCCGTCTGACTTAGGTTCATTGATCCTCCGCTTCCTGGACTTCCAGCTCCTGCTCGAGACAAGGGCGGCTTTGAACTTGTAGAGTTTGCCCTTCTGTCTTCACCTGCCCAACCCTTTAACCCCCTCCCCGCTCCCCCTATCTTACTTAGGTTCGTTATTCCCCTGTTGCCTATATCTACAGCTCCTGCTCGTGCCAAGGGCAGCTGCGGACTTGTCGAGTTTGCGACCCCTGCTTCATCTGCCCAACCCTTTAACCCCCTCCCCAATCCCCCCTTCCCCTCGCTCTTCCCTTCCGCTGTTCTCCCCCCTTTCCCCTCCCCCATGCCCCCCGCTTCCCCCTCCGTGCCCTTTCCTTGCCCCTTCCCCTGCCCCTGCCCCTGCCCCACACAGTGCGCCCCCTCCCCCAGGGGAGCCGCCCACTCCCCCTGCTGCAGCGACCAGTACAGGGCCAGCCAGGCTCGGCACCACACCGAACAGAAGCCCCAGGCTTGGTCGGTCTCAGACAGGTACAGGAGAGGTCCGGAGAGGAGGGGGTGGGTAGGTATGGAAGGGGAGGAGGAGGAATGGTGGGGGGATGGGTCTGGAGTGGTGGCACAGCCACAAGCACAGGAAGAGGAGTTAGAAGCAGTGGCAGCAGCAGCACTACTAGCAGCAGCAGCAGCAGTACCAGCAGCACTACCAGCTGCACCAGCAGCAGCACTGGTAGCAGCACTAACAGCGGCACTACTACCAGCAACAACCCTGTTCCCAGGACCCTTAAAGCCCAGCTCTTGAGACCCAGGGATCAGCTGGTCCAAGGGCGTGTTCAGAAAGAGCCAGGGTTTGAACCAGGGGTTGGCGAAGTGCACTGTGTGAACAGGCCCTAGGTGCAGAGGGGCGCAGTCAGGGCCGCAGGGGGGGTGCAGCCAGGAGGGAGGTTGGTACCAGGGGAGGGGGAAGTGGAGGATAGCGTTGGTGGTAAAGGGGAGGCGGCAGGAGGGGTGGGACTTGAACCAGTGGCGAAACACCGAGTTTAGAAAATCCTGTTGATGGGGACGGAGAGGGGGAGAAGCAGAGAAGGGAAAGGAGGGAGGGCAAGCCACAGGAGGAGAGGGGGCCGGGGGGCAGGGGGGGGAGAGGGTGAGTTAGATGGTGCAACCAGGAGGGAGGTTGGTACCAGGGGAGGGGGAAGTGGAGAATGGCGTTGGTGGTGAAAGGGAGGCGGCAGGAGGGGTGGGAATTGTACCAGTGGCGAAACACCGAGTTTAGAAAATCCTGATGATGGGGAGGAGAGGTGGGGAGTGGAACAGAGGGAACAGGGCAGGGGGAGCAGGGGGGCAGGGGGGGCAGGGGGAACAGGGGAAAAGGGAGCAAGGGGGCAGTGGGGGGAGGAGATGGGGAAGGGGGGGCAAGGGGGAGAGAGGGTGAGTTAGATGGTGCAACCAGGAGGGATGTTGGTACCAGGGGAGGGGGAAGTGGAGAATGGCGTTGGTGGTGAAAGGGAGGCGGCAGGAGGGGTGGGACTTGTACAAGTGGCGAAACACCGAGTTTAGAAAATCCTGTTGATGGGGAGAAGGGGCAGCAGGGGGTGGGGAGAGCGAGCAGGGGGGACGGGGGAAGGAGGGAGGTTGGTACCAGGGGAGGGGGAAGTGGAGGATGGCGTTGGAGGTAAAGGGGAGGCGGCAGGAGGGGTGGGACTTGAACCAGTGGCGAAACACCGAGTTGAGAAAATCCTGCGATGGGGGAGAGGAGGCAGCAGGGGGAGCAGGGAGCGGCAGGAAGGACATGGGACGGCAGGGGGGTGTATGGGGGGGGGGAGCATGAGTGGTAGGAGGGGACATGGGCCAGAAAGAGGGGAAATGGGAACAGGGGGAGGAGCAGGACGGGTGGGTGTGGTAGCAGTGGTAAAACAACATCATCGACAGCTCTTTCCAAGGGAAAACATCATAATCTCCCCATTTCCCCTCGCTGGAATATGTCTCAAAGTCTTTCCGAGGGAAAACATCATCATCTCCCCCCCTGCCATACCTGGTCGTTAGGCATGGCACCAGTCTGCCATACCTGGTCGTTAGGCATGGCACCAGCGCGAGCAGCCACGGCAGCAGCCACCACCTTGGCTCGCCTCACAATCTGCCGAAACACCCTGTGGCCCGCCATGCCTAACGACCCGTGCTACCATTTTCTGAAATTTCAATCAAGAAACTAAATGGCATCCCCCACTCCCCCTCTCTCTCCCTCCTTGCTATACCTGGTCGTTAGGCATGGCGCCAGTCTGCCATACCTGGTCGTTAGGCATGGCGCCAGTCTGCCATACCTGGTCGTTAGGCATGGCACCAGCGCGAGCAGCCACGGCAGCAGCCACCACCTTGGCCCGCCTCACAATCTGCCGGAACACCCTGTGACCCACCATGCCTAACGACCAGTGCTACCATTTTCTGAAATTTCAATCAAGAAACTAAATGGCATCCCCCACCCCCCCTCTCTCTCCCCCCTTGCTATACCTGGTCGTTAGGCATGGCACCCGCGCGAGCAGCCACGGCAGCAGCCACCACCTTGGCTCGCCTCACAATCTGCCGGAACACCGAGAGGCTCGGCCGAACCAGCAGCACGCCTGCGTTGAAGCGGTCAGCCTCGTACACGTCAGGTGCGGCAGCCAGAGGTTCGGGGCAGGGCTGCCTGTGGGGGGAGGTGGTATCTGGTGACGGGCTGCCTGAAGGTTCCACCCTGCCTGCTCCCTTATTGCTCATTCCACTGCTGCTGCTGCTGCTGCTGCTGCTGCCGCCACCACCACTGTTGCTGCTGTTGCTGCTGAAGGTGCTGCTGCCATTGTCCGCATTACTAGGAAACAGGTGATCCAAATTCCTCGTTATAAGCACATCCACGTCTAGATACAGCACCCAGTCGTACTCCTCCAACCGCCACACGTGAAGCTTCCTGTAACCTTCCACCGGAGACCCCACCCCTGCCATCCCCGTCCCCTGATTGGTCCCCAAACCATCCCCAGCCGCCCCACCAGCTCCGCCGCCCGATCCCCCTCCGCCCGCCGCCCAACCGCCGCCCGGATTTGCTACTAGCAGCGGATTGGCTGCGACGGCGGCTCCTTGAAGGTGATTGGCCGGGAGGGGGATGACGGCTGTGAAGTGGCGGAGGAGGAGGGTGAGGGGGAGAGTGGAGGGCTGGTGGGGCACGGAGGAGGAGAGGAGGAGCAGCAGGTCGTGGGGCGTGCGGGAGAATCGAAGGGATTGAGCTGCCACTATTGCTGGTCGAAGCTGGGAATGGGGAGAGGGGAAGGGTGGGTGGAGGGGGGGAAGAGGAGATAATTCCTGCATAGAAGAGGAGAGGAGGAGTAGGAGGTCGTGGGGGGTGCGGGAGAAGCGGAGGGCTTGCGCTGCCACTATAGCCGGGCGGAGCTGGAAGGGGGGGGGAGGGAGAGGGAGGCGGGGAAATCAGGGGGAGAGTGGAGGGTTGGCGGGGTACGGAGGAGGAGAGGAGGAGGAGGTCGTGGGGGGTGCGGGAGAAGCGGAGGGCTTGAGCCGCCACTATGGCCGGGCGCAACTGAGAGGTGTGCTGGGGGTGGGGGGGGAAAGGGGGGGGAGGGTGCATGAGGAGAAGCGGAGGGCTTGAGCCGCCACTGTTGCTGGGCGGAGCTGAGAGGTGTTGGGGTTGGATGGGGTAACGGGGGGAGGAGGGAAAATGGGGGATCGTGAAGAGGACAGGAGGGAGGGGTTGGGAAGAGACTGGTGGGGAGGGGGGAGACGGGGAGATGAGGAGAGGAGGAGATGAGGAGAGGAGCGAGTGGATTGTGGGAGCGGGGAAAAGAGAGACAGACATGGTTACGAATGTTACAAGAACGAGGTGTCTGTTACAGTGACGCTGTAACGAACACCTGCTGTTGTTACAGAACACCCACCACAGCCACACGCATGTTACAATCACAATGTGTTTGTTACAATGATGCTGTTTCGATCACCTACTTTAGAAAACTAAACTACCACACAAATTTCCGTATCACGCGAAACCAACCAAGTTATGAGCAGTTGTCAACGCATGCTGAACCTTACCCCTCCCCTCCCCCTCTCCCCCCTCCCCTCCCACTCTCCCCCCTCCCCTCCCACTCTCCCCCCTCCCCTCCCACTCTCCCCCCTCCCCTCCCCCTCTCCCCCCTCCCCTCCCCCTCTCCCCCCTCCCCTCCTCCTCTCCCCCTCCCTCCTCCCTCAATCTCCCAACCTCCCTCCACCCGCACACCAGCCCGAACCAGGAACGAACCGCCAACCAGATCAGACGAACTAACGATTCTTGAGACGTCTACAAAATTCTCTCCCTCCTCCCCTTCCCCCCACTCCCCCCCTCCTCCCTAGTCCCTCATCCTCCTCCCCTCCCCCTCCCCCTTCCCTCCACCCGCACCCCACCCGAACCCCACCCGAACCAGGAACGAACCACCAACCAGACTAGACGAATGAACGATGAACACGTAAGCGAATCGCGATTTCGCCATCCCCGAGCGAAGCGCACCCAGCAAGTCGCCTCCTCTCCCCACCTTCCCTCCCTTTTCCGCTGCGCCTCTTCCCCCTCGCCCTCCCCTTTCTCCCCCTTTCCCTTCCCCGCGCCGACTTCCATCTCCCCCCTCCCCCTCCGCCTCCCCCTCCCCCTCTCCCCATTCACCCTCGTCCGCTTCCGCCTGTAGCCGCGCCTCTAATTGCATTCTTAAAGCCCGCGTTCGCTGTCGCCGCTCCTTCCATCCTCCTTGAAGCCGCACGCGCCGCGTAGCGGAGCTCACGGCACCAATCGCGCCGACATGGGTCGCATTTATCCTAGTGGGTTGGTTCCCTAGACCGTACCCTGACCACTCGTCTTCAAGCGACTCGGCTCCAGTGCTAGTGTTTTCTATCTTCCCCTTACCCGAGCCGCGAATACGACCTCGATCCCGGTCTAGGCCACTAGAAACGGAGCGTTCTGATTGGTCGGAGTCGGGCGGTTCGGAGGAGATTAGTAGGCTGTAGCAGTAACAGGTGGCGAGAACCACGGCGATTAAGAGGAGAGGTAAGACGCGCTTTAAAGGGCGACGTTTCTTAGGTAAAGGATACGTCTTGCCCTTAACTGCAGGACTGGACCAAACGCGAGGCTTCGGCATCGTACCTTCTCGCGTCGAGTATACGTGCACTCAATTCGACCTCTTATAACCCTGAAATGGCTCAACGCTACAAATCATGGACTCAAAACCTAGTTCCCATGCGGGCTGCGAGACGAATGGGAAAACACTTCTTTGCAAATGCAATAGTAATCGCCACGTTATCGCATTGCATCACTGGGATGGGGCTTTGCGTAACGCCTATCTGGAACGAAGGCTACAGCAATTCGCGAGTTCTCATTCAGTCGCAGCGTACGTCCTCTCCAATGGATCAGGGCCTGCTTACAGGGGAGACCATAGATACTCGAGTCTATGGAAGCGGGAGCTGTAAAAATCAGAATGAAAATCCCAAGGGTGCTGATATTTTTGAAACAGGAGAATCTCGAAGTAGCTGCGCTAATTTCAAGGTGGTCGACTGCGGTGAGTTTTTTTTTTTTTTTTTTGATTAATGATAGATATACACCGAAGTGAACAAGCGTATAAACATCAAACGGTCGTAACCGCGCTTGAGGAACAGAGGGTGAGCTACTGTTCCAGATGGGACATCTACGAACGGGAGGTGCTTGCCCTCCGCCTGGACCACAGTGCAGCAAACGCACTTGTCCACTTCCAGCCTGTGCCAGCCAATTTGATCTTCCCCAGCATGTTCTGCTCCTCAGCAAAATTCCTCTTGTGACGTTTGTGATGAACCGCGCCAAACTTGCGGGTGTAGATACGTGCATGCTGCCTGAAAGCAAACTCGATCTTGTGAAGAACACGATTCGTGCGAAACTTCTGGCCTCGAAAAACTGCTTCGCACCTTTCAACCCACAGCTGATGAAATGTGATGGATGTGAGCGTCAGCTCCGGGAAAGCTGAGCTGGACCCCGTTTTCCGGAACAGTAGATCACCGAGTGTGGCAGTGGAACGGTTAGGATTCAGCATGTGCAAAGCATGCATGAGAGCGGAGGTATCTGTCTGGATCCGAGGGCAGAGGAGGACAGTGGTCCAGTGTCTCCTCTCTCCCGCAATAGGGGCGGGATGGTTGCCCGCTGAGGAAAGCGAGGCGCTCCCCCACTTGCAAGTTTAAGCCGTGGATTCGGAGAAGGACATCACGTGGACGGCTGGGAACTGCCAGTGAGTCACGTGTTGCCACCACCCGCCTCCAGTTGATGTGCCTTCCCCACCTTCTTGCCCATTTCGCCCTTTTTCCGGACTCTTGGTAAGCCGTTTTCCAGCACTCTCTCATCCTCCTGATGGAGGCCACTCCCCCCCCCTCCAAAATGTTCAGCGGAGGAGTAGAGTCAGCCGAGCAGGGGGGAACCGAAGGAAACCCCAGCAGTTGCAACCACACCGCTGGCATGGTGATCAGCGCCTTTACCGCAAGCCTCGCCGGGCTACTACCGCCAAGCTGCCGTGCTAGCTCCCTCTGCTGCTTCAACACCAGCTCGCCCCCGTTAATCTCCAGCAGCTCCCCGACGCGAACTTCCCAGAGATTCGCGCAACCTTCCTGCCCGCCGACAGGGGTTTTGAGCAGGGATGCTTTGTTGAACACCAGTCTCTCTCTTAAAATCGCTTCTCTGCTATCCGTCGCTGACCGAACGCAGAACGGAGAGTTGATGAAGCTATCACACGTTTGTCTCCATCTCATACTCCTCCCCTTCCAGTGTTTCAGTAGGCGCGCATGAGAGGAGAAGGAGTCATCTCCTAGAGGAAGATCCGCTGCCTGAACCATGATCGCTTTCTTCCAGGGGTTTTGTTCCGTAAGATACAGTCCCACTCTCCTGGTCGCAAGACAGCATAATCTCCGGATCTTTTACTCCGATACCCCCGGCCTCCCTTGGGGTGTACAACAGAGTTTTACTCCAGAGAATGAAACCCTTCACCGTCGCGACGCGGTTACCCGACGTGAAGCTCTGTAACAGTCTGATAATCTCCTCCCATATCTCCGCAGGGGGAGGGTAAATCTGTGCTTGGAATGCCAGTAATGGAGTGATGTAGCTGTTAACGACTGTAGCTCTTGCAGTCGTCGTGAGGTATTTCAGCTGCCATTTCGTTAACTTCCCCACAATGTGCTCCCACGCCTTTTCCCAGGTCGGTAAGCCGCTTCCGGACGGTGTCACCCAGACTCCCAACAGTCGCTCTGCTTCATCCGCTCCGGCCCACTTGAAGCAGCTGGAGCCGTCACCCTTCGCACCCAGATTTGCCCCCAAAGGTAACAGAACCGATTTCGCCTTATTAGTCGCTAGGCCCGACGCTTTCTCGAACTTGTCCAGCACATCCACCGCCTTGACAATCTGATTCTCTCCTTGCAGGGCCAGCGTCGTATCATCGGCGTAACCAAGATAGTTGAAACGCTGACCCTGCTTGGACAGACCGAGTTCCTGCCTCTCCACCTCCCTCGCCAGCGGCTCTACCGCGCAGAGGAAGAGGTAAGGCGCTAACGGGCAGCCTTGCCGTACTCCTGAGGCCACTTCCACACCTTTGCCCAACCATCCGTTAACCAACAGCTTCGTTGACGTGTTGTCATGCAGGCCTTTGATCCACCCAACGAAGCGCTCTGGGAATCCCATCCGGGCCAGCACCTCAAATAGGAAGTCCCTCGACACCGAGTCGAAGGCCTTCTGGAACTCCACCAAGAGGAGGAACCAGTCCTCATTGCCATTCTTCGCGGCATCGATCACATCGGCCACCAAGGCCACCGCATCCGAGAGCCGCCTCCCCGGGATAAAACCATACTGTTCCGGAGAGATGACCATATGAAGAACCGACTTCATTCTATCGGCAACCACCCTCCCCATGACTTTGTAAGTGAAGTTAAGCAGAGTAATCGGGCGATAGTTGTTGAGCTCATCTTTCTCCCCTTTCTTGTGCAGCAGTATGGTAACCGCTTCTTTTGTTGCTGATGGCAGGGTGGATGACGCCTCGAAGCTCCTCACCATGGCCATAAAACTCTCCCCCAGCAGATCCCAGTGAGCTTCAAAAAGTTCTTTCGGCAACCCATCACCGCCAGGTGATTTATTCTTCGCCATCGCCGCAAACGCCTTTTTGACTTCCTGCTCCGACCAATCCGCCGATAAGATCTCTGCTACTGCGCCATCCAGCCGCCGAAGCGAGGTGAGGTCCCAGTCCGAGAAATCAGTGCGTCGATCTTTGCCGAATATGTTCCGGAAGAAGTCTGAGGCTGCACCCAAGATCTGCTGCGATCCGGACACCCGTCCTGTACCAACTTTAAGCTCCTTGATCTGGGTGCGCGCCTTCCGTGCACGAACCTTCGCCGACAAATGCTTCGAGGCCAGTTCTCCCGTAAGTTCCGCCGTAAGACCAGCCTGAAGGTACAATCGCTCAGTCTGTGAAGTGTTATACTCTTTCAGCTTCGTCTCCTTTGCCTCCAGTAGTGCTCGCGTGACTGAACAGTCCGGATTCCGCATCATTTCCTGCTTCAACAACCCCACCGTGGTTGTTAGATGCAGAAGCGTTTTCTTAACACGTTTGCTCTCCTCCTTTGCATATGTTCTGAGCCCGGCACCCAGTCTCTTCAGGAGCAACTCGAAGCTGCAACCATCATTCACTGGGGTACGCCGCACCGTTGCCTCAATGATTTTCCGGACACCTGGACGATTGATCATT